TATATTTCTAGATTTGAGAACATATATCTAGATTTGAGAATATATATCTAGATTTGAGAGTATATTTCTAGATTTGAGAACATATATCTAGATTTGAGAATATATATCTAGATTTAAGAGTATATTTCTAGATTTATGAACATATTTCTAGATTTAAGAATATATTATTAAAGCTTTGCACCATAAGGCTGCACAGATATAGGGATTAAATAATTGAATAAATGAGAGTATGAGAGTAAATCAGTCACCATCTTTCCTATTGATAAGTTGTTTAAAAGAAATCCTCTGATGGGAGGTTGCGTGAATGTTAAATAGCATGTTTTAAAATATCCTCCGGTGGGAGGTTGCGTGAATAATTCTTACTCCGTGATGGGAGGTTGCGTGAATGTTAAATAGCATGTTTTAAAATATCCTCCGGTGGGAGGTTGCGTGAATAATTCTTACTCCGTTTCATATAGACCTGGCTCCGGTGGGCCGGAGCAAAAAAATATGCTGCTACTATCTTCCAGCATTCTGAAAACCCTGTATGCAAGAAGTTTTTTAAATCATGATTCATTCTTTTTAGATTTTCTGATTAGTCCCTTAAATCTTAATGTAGAGCTATAAATGATCTAATATGATGTGGGACACCCTGTATGATATATAAAAGAATATGATAGAGCTGCCCTGAACATTTATCATAAGCAAAAATACGCATCAAATAGTAAACAATGTGAAAATCTTTATAAAACTAGGAGCCCCGGTCTTCAAACACAAATATCTTCTGCTCTTTCACAATGCTTGGACAGGTAACTCAATATATTACTATCTGTAGGCCCCAAACTCAATATATTTCTATCTGTAGGCCCCTAACTCAATATATTACTATATGTAGGCCCCTAACTCAATGTATTACTATCTGTAGGCCCCTAACTCAATATATTTCCATCTGTAGACCCCTAAATCAATATATTACTATCTGTAGGTCCGTAACTCAACATATTTCTATCTGTAGGCCCCTAACTATCTGTAGGCCCCTAACTCAATATATTACTATCTGTAGGCTCGTAACTCAACATATTTCTATCTGTAGGCCCCTATCTCAATATATTTCTATCTGTAGGCCCCTAGCTCAATATATTTATATATGTAGGCCCCTAACTCAATACATTTCTCTCTGTAGGCCCCTAACTAAACATATTTCTATCTGTAGGCCCCTAACTCAAAATATTTCTATCCGTAGGCCCCTAACTTAATATATTTCTATCTGTAGGCCCCAAACTCATTTTATTTCTCTCTGTATGACCCTAACTCAATATATTACTATCTGTATGCCCCTAACTCAATATATTTCTATCTGCAGGCCCCTAAATCAATATATTTCTATCTGTAGGCCCCTAAATCAATATATTTCTATCTGTAGGCCCCTGACTCAGTATGAAAGTGATATATTGGTGCATCCCCGTCTCTGCATGAGTTGCTTATCTGGAGATCAGGCAGATTTACTTTAAAATCATTCTTAATATAAATATAATTCTTTGTTTAAATATCACTCTTTTTGGAATATTTCTTTTAATATCGTGATTCAATTCTTCTCACATTTTCCTGTTTCGTCTGAACCATTTATCGCCAAATAGTTCTCAAATTTGGCAGAAAAAGAAAAGTTTCTTGGGTCTTGAGAAAACTATGACACTTCGCTCCAATTTTTATTACATTTTTATTTCAGTCATTTTATGACAAGGATCTGAATAATTAAAATATTTTTGGAAAGGTATTTTATATAGTAATTAGAATATAATTTTGAAAAGTTGAATATATAAACAATTTTTAGACACAAAACATTTATTGTTTTTAAATATAATTATGTTTAATAGGATGTCTTTTGGTTGTAAACAAAATAATAATTTGGCCATAAATCCTAGCAAGTTGATTCTTTGCAATCTAAAGTCTTTTTTAGACTGCAAACTGCTCTTAGAAAATAAACTGAATTTGCGATTGGAAGAAAAAGAAACTCAATTTGCAATTAAATGACAAAGAAACTCATTTTGCAATTGGAAAAAAAACTTAATTTGCAATTTGAAGGAAAAGAAACTCTATTCGGAATTAAATGAAAAAGAATCTCATATTGCAATAAAATGAAAAAGAAACTCAAATTGCAATTGAAGGAAAAATAAGCTGAATTTGCAACTGAATGAAAAAGAAACTCAACATGTAATTTGAAGAAAAAGAAACTCATTTTGCAAATGAAACAGAAACTGAATTTGCAATTGGAAAAAAATGAATTTGAAATCGAATGAAAAAGAAACTCAATTTTCAATTACATAAAAAAATCATTTTGAAATTAAACGAAAAAGAAACTCTATTTGCAATATTAAGAAAAAAAGATCAATTTGCAATTAGAAGAAAAAACTCTCGATTTGCTATTTGAAGTAAAATACACTCAATTTGAAGAAAAAGAAATTTAATTTGCAATTTTAAGAAAAAGAAATTCAATTGCAATTTGAAGAAAAAGAAACTTAATTCACTTAAGAAAAAGAAACTCAATTTGCATGCACTTAGAGGAAAAGAAACTCAATTTGCAATTGGAAGAAAAAAGTTCAATTTGCAATTAAAAGAAAAAAACTCAATTTGCAATTAAAAGAAAAAAACTCAATTTGCAATTGAAAGAAAAAAACTCAGTTTCCAATTTGACAAGAAAAGAAGTTGTCTGTTTGTACAGAGTAGTTTAACCAACTGTAGTACGTGTAGCTGTGTAGCTTACTGCTCTGATAAGTGCAGGTATAATTTTAGGTTTGCAATGTGTGACAAAGAGACGTACACAAGAATTTATATATTATATATAGTTTGTGCCCGCCCCTGATTGTGATATTTCTAGAAGTTCAGGTGAATCTCTTCACAGCCTTGTCTGCAAGGATCTTACAAACCTTATTCAAGATCATAGAATTGATCTCTCCAGACGATCTCAGGTACCGGATTATCAGAGTCAATTGATCTTCAAATCAAATAAATTAAGTTTTCCGCTCCAAAAAGTTGAAAGTTTTAAAATATATTACTGATGTGTAATTTTAAAATGACCCTCCATTTTTAGAGTCGGATGGCAACCGATTTTTTTCATTATTTACGACAGATAAATCCTTATTTTCAAGCTGAAAATCGACTGCCATTGAAATCGAGTGTAAAATTGTACGGAGTGTACACTGTTCACTAAAGAATTCCGGCAGTGAGTTCTGAGCTTTGAAAATATGGATATCTCCGTCATTTAAGGGTACACAAAGTACTTGAGAGTTATGAAAATTATGCATCATCTGGACCTGCACTGAAAACTCTTGTACTGGATACCCTTAATCTCGATTGCTAATTATAATGTATCCAGTGTCGACACTTTGGATGCTATGCTTAATCCTCTCTTTAGGATATCTTTACTGTATTCAGACTATTGAGAGTCTCTTTACTGTATTCAGACTATTGAGAGTCTCTTTACTGTATTCAGACTATTGAGAGTCTCTTTACTGTTTTACTGTATTCAGACTATTGAGAGTCTCTTTACTGTATTCAGACTATTGAGAGTCTCTTTACTGTATTCAGACTATTGAGAGTCTCTTTACTGTTTTCAGACTATTGAGAGTCTCTTTGATAAGAGAACTCTCATTGACTGCGCAACAAAATTTCTCCGCTTTTGATTGGCTATTCCATTTTTACAATCGGAACTCTGATTGGTTGCAGTTTTAACACAGATAATAATGTAGTATTAAATTAATCTGCAGCATTAAAAAAGATCAAGCATTGATCTCGATATCCACAATTCTAAAGTTTTCAGCTGCGGTCGACGTTGATGCTTAACCTCTTATCCTTTCGTTTAAGATTTCTAACTCAGTAATACCTTTTTTGTAACCCTAGACATGTTAACTATAAAACATTAACGTGCTTGTTCCTAGCTCTAGAAAGAGTAACTAGCAACATAATACATTTTGCGTAAAAGAGCACGCACACCTTGAAATATTTTGAAAAATTGAAATTATGAAATTGTTTTATTCTTTATCGAAAGTTTTCTATAATCTCGAAACTATTTACATTTTTACTCTTTTCCAGAATTGATGAGACGAAAATATGTTATTCAGATGTGTTTATCAATAACAAGTTAATACCACAATATTTTTAGGTGGATGGTTTTATACACTTTCCAACAGAAAAATATGAAAACCTTTCACAAAATTTTCAAGAATTTCTTGAAACACAAACTAGGGAAACGATTTTACACCAGGATTAATTATAAATGAGTAATTTTTCAGACTTCTAGAACCTGGGGAATCAGTTGCTTTTTACTCCCCTCAGTTTCAAAAATAACGCCAACCTTTCAGTTTGAAATTCTTTTTCTGAGAAACTGTTACATTGAAGTTCTTTAAAATGTAATTTAATGAATTTGAGAAAAATTAAGATCATGTGATAATTTTTCAGACTTCTAGAACCAGGTGATAATTTTTCAGAGTTCTAGGCGTTATTTTTGAAACTGAGGGGAGTAAAAAGCAACAGTTTCTTAGAAAAAAATTTCAAACTAAAAGGTTGGCGTTATTTTTGAAACTGAGGAGTAAAAAGCAACTGACTAAGATTTTGTCAAAAAAAAATTCAAACAATTTTTTTCAAATTCCCCTCAGTTTCAAAAATAACGCCAACCTTTCGTATTGAAAAATTACATTTTAAAGAATTTCAATGGAGTAAAAATTTGATTTGATATAGGGCTTGATACGAATGTTGAAAAGGATGGAATGCGGTTAATGAATTTGAGAAAAATTAAGATCATGTATTGAAAAATTACATTTTAAAGAATTTCAATGTTACATTGAAGTTCTTTAAAATGTAATTTAATGAATTTGGATAAAGAATCAAACCCAATAACATTCGTATCGATAATTTTTCAGACTCACTTTGTTTAGATGAAGATGCTTAGAAAAAGAATTTCAAACTGTATTGAAAAATTACATTTTAAAGAATTTCAATGTGACAGTTTCTTAGAAAAAGAATTTTACCCACTTGCTTAATTTACAGGGTTAACCGACTTGATTTATTTACAGGTTACCCACTTGATTTATTTACAGGGTTTCCCACTTGATTTATTTACAGGGTTACCCACTTGATTTAATTACAGGATTACCCACTTGATTTATTTACAGGGTTAACCGACTTGATTTATTTACAGGTTACCCACTTGATTTATTTACAGGGTTTCCCACTTGATTTATTTACAGGGTTACCCACTTGATTTATTTACAGGGTTACCCACTTGATTTATGTAAAGGGTTAACCAATTGATTTATTTACAGGGTTACCCACTTGATTTATTTACAGGGTTACCCACTTGATTTATTTACAGGGTTAACCATTTTATTTTTTACAGGGTTACCCACTTCGATTTATTTATAGGGTTACCCACTTGATTTATTTACAGGGTTACCCACTTGATTTATTTACAGGGTTCCCATATTGATTCTTGGTTTCTTCATTCAATTGAGTATTTTGATGGTTTACTTGATTATTAAGTACAGAACTAAGCCAATTTAGGCCTGCAAGTAAAAATCTCTGTTTGGGTGTCTAACTTGTTCTATCATAACTCAGGATCACCTTGACCGATTTGCCTTAAATTTACATAATTTTCTACGTGATAAAATATGGTTTAGTAATTGGTATTTTTTAATCAAAATAAAATGGTGAAAAAGCAAAAACCATTTTGTGATAAAAACAAAATTTTACAAATATTCTTATACACATTTTTATTCTTGAGTAAATCTTGTGCCCACAATCTTTATCCAAAAATAAACTATTATTAAAGTTAAAATTCTTGAGTAAATATTTAATCCTTTATATTGTGGCATCCTGGTGTCCTGAGCTTCTAGGGTTACCCTCAGAGGATGAGACTTTAGGAGACGACTGTACTGTACAGTCTGAATCTATGTTAGTGATTCCCTTTAACTGTAAACTTTTTTCTTGTTTTGCCAAATCGTTTGAAATGACTTTTTTCGAGACAAAAGACTTAATATTACTTTAGAATCGTCATATAAGAGTTTTCAGTCGTCTTTACAGTCTAAGCCTCTGTGGAGAACCCCGTAAGTGACCCTTCATGCAAAGATGGCGTTGTCTGATTTTCAATAACGCACTTAAAAGTTTTTTCTTAATAAGCATGAATTAGATATTCCTGTTTTATGTTGTTGTTAATTTTTTTAACTTGGTTGTTTTTTGCGTAAAAGAAGCAACGGAGAAATTTTCAGAATTAAACACTTTTGGAGTCGGAAATTCGATAATATCTTCCACATTTCTTATCAGATTAAGCACACCGTTGTGAATTAGGCATTGCCATCTTTACATGCGGGGTTATGTTTCAAGTTCCTTTAATTTAATAAAAAAATGAAAATCTTTCAATACTTGAAGACTTCTTCTCCCGGAAGAAACTGATGTTGATTTCATCTCGTCCCAGGTATAGATAAATCACTAGCTCAAGTGTCCGTCGTTGCCCGTGGAATTTAAGAAAATCGAATAAAAAAAGAAGAATGAAGGAAATATCGATTTTTTTATCTTTGAAAAGTGATTATTTTCAAGTGTGGTTTCTCAATAACGTGACTATCGCTTAACTGTTACAGAAACAAATTAGACAATTATCAGAAATAAACACTTTTAAAGGTACTGTTGTGAATCGTGCATGTCAGTTGAGGTTCACTTAAGATTACGTCTACTGTCTCTTTAATTAAGGCGCGTAAACTGAGTTGGGAGTTGACCTGCCCCGCCACTGTATTATACTCAGCTGAACGGGCTGGACTCAGGTAAACATAAAGTGAAATAAATTTTCCTCAAATAGAGTCTATAGTACAATAGATGGCAACGTAGAATTTGTATGCTCTGAGTACAGTTGTATTCTGACGTCACAAGTGTCAACAGTTTTATGTGTCCGACAAAGTTGTTATAAATAGTGATAATTTTAGAATAAAGTGCTTATCTTGCGGTAAAATAAGTGCCATTATATGTGTTCTTTATTGTCTGTTTTTACACTTTTTTATTTAATCTTGGAAAACATGTCAACTAATGTGAAAAATATTTCGTTTTCCTTGTTCTATTTGACACTTCTGACGTCGTGTTTATAATTGGTCCATCTCTGTTGCCACCTGTTGAACTTGATATTCTATTTGGGTAAACATAAAGTGAAATAGATTTCTTAAGTTAAAAAAACCCTAAAATGTTAAGTCTACACACTTTCTAGTCGATTTCATTTCTTGCTTGCTGCACATTTGTATAATTTAGCTGTGGTCCAGTCCAAGATCAAGAGGAGCTAATAATTCATCTTGTTGGGGCTCGGAAAGCTGAGGTAGAGATGGCAAAATCATGGTTATTACTTCCAGCTAGGCTTCCGAACCTCAGGTGAGTAATATACTAAATGAGGGCTTGTAAACAGAAATAAAATGTAAACACATATCGCCAATTGGCCGGCTATTACCAATACCTGATAAAGGAATTGAGTCCTTAAAATAAACTCAAATTTTCTCATCCCTATATCTTTCCAACCTGATGCATGGTATAAATATTTAATATTCCAAAATATCACAGGTAATAGTGATGTTATTCGACGTTGGGTTACAAAGATATGGAGATGCGTAAATCTGAGCTTGTGGCGATGACTTAATTACTTATGAAGCTATAAAATAATTTTACTTTTTTTGTTTTTTTTTGTAGAAGATTAAAACTAGTATTAATTGGACCAGAACTTGAGAATATTGGAGGTTTAACTTCCTTCACTGTCCAGGTAAAACAATGCAGAAAAAATAAAAAAAGATTATTTTCTACAAAGTTTTTAGGAAGGTAACTGTACTGTGAGTTACCATCTAGAGCACAGTGCTTACCACAAGTTTGTTAAAACAAAAAGGTTTTCTGAACCCAATCTTGTTGCTGCTCTGAACTGTGGGTTTATATTTTACCAGGTAAACTATCTTAATTCTTATTCATAGAAAGAACCATTCCCAAACCTTTCTCATCCCCCCGCCTAGTCCTTCCTACCCTTTCTTCCCTCCCCTTAATTTTCCTTCTTTCCTCCATCCTTCTCCTTCCTCCCATCCCCTTCTTTCCCCCATCCCTCTCCTTCCTCCATCGCTTTCCTTCCTTCAATCCCTCTCCATCCGTCCATCCCTATCCTTCCCTCCATCCCTTTCCTTCCTCCATCCCTTTCCTTCCTCCCATCCCTCTCCTTCCTCCCATCCCTCTCCTTCCTCCATCCCTCTCCCTCTCCTTCCCTCCATCCCTTTGTTTTCCTCCCATCCCTCTCCTTTCTCCCCCTTTCTCCCTTTACCCTCCCTCGTTATATCCCCAGCTAAAACTAGCATTTGAAGTTACAGAGTATTTTCCCTATAATTACATTGTAATTAATTTATCTTCTCTGGAACTGATCAATTGGATTCTCTAGTATCACATCTATTTACTAAACATGTGTTATGTGTATTTATAGTGTAAACCAAACTAGTATTAGAAATTGGAAAGCGAATTTAGGAAATAAATTTATTTGAAAATCTGAATCTGTCAAAATTCAACTTAAGGGAACATTACGGCAAAGTCTATCCAACTCAGTGTTTCATTGGATGTGTGGGGAAAGACGAACCCTTTCTATGCATTTGCTTCCTACAATTGATATATTCAAGAATATTGAATTAAAATAAATCTTATGTCTAATTGAAATCTGTTAATCTGCAAAACTTTGTTTTTCTGATCGCATTTCCTTCCTCAGGAAATTGCTTATTCAAATTTTATTTTGACTAATTGGGATTAATACATGTTTCAAGGATACCTGAGCTAAAAATTCTTTGACTATGACTATGAGGGTAGATACGGGTTGCAACACCATGGCATGTTAAGATGCAGTATATAATGCAAGATTAAGAAGGAATTAGGGATAGGCATAAAACCGAAAAAGAGAATGTTTAAAGAGGATAAGGCCAGATTGAAATACATGGGTGAGAAGGACACTCAGTAAACCAAAAATAAAAGGTTGAGAAGTAAAACTTAGTAAACCTGAGAAATGAGAATTACAAAAAAGAATAAAACAAAAAAGATCAAAAAAGGAAGAAAAATCACTTCAAATATTGAGCTATCAGAGCAGAAAATTCCACAAGTTCATCTCAGCCAATAATTGAGCTAAACAACTTATGGTTTTCACAAAATTTTCATATTTGCATTTCGTGACAACATTTTCGCGAGATTTTAGCATTTCGCGAAAATATTTTTGCAAAATTTTTGCGAGATGCGACCGTAAATTTTCGCATTTTTCGCGAAATGTTTCGTTCGCTGGAAACCATAAATTTAAGTCTAGACATTAAAATTTTAATTTCAGGATTAGAATTTGAGTCTAGATGTATAAAAAAAATTGTTAGGATTGCATGGGATTTGAGTCTAGATATGTATATTTATATTTTTAGAATTAGGGTTTCGGTCTAGTATATGTAAATATTTAATTTCAGGATTGGGATTTGAATCTAGATGTATTAATTATTTTTCAGGATCGGTATTAGATGCGTAAATGTTTGAACTCAGGATTGGTTTGAGTTAAGATATCTAAACGTTTAATTTCAGGATTAGGATTTGAGTCCAGATTATGCAAATTTTTGTTTTTCAGTATTTCAGTATTTGAGTATAAATGTAAATATTTGATTTAAGGATTTAAATTTGAGTCTAGATATTTAAATTTTAATTGCAGGCTTAGGATCTGAATCTAGATGTATAAATTTATTTTTTAGGATTAGGATTTGAGTCTAAATTTGTAAATTTAATTTTTAGGATTGGGATTTGAGTCTAAATTTGTAAATTTAATTTTCAGGATTGGGATTTGAGTCTAAATTTGTAAATTTAATTTTAAGGATTGGGATTTGAGTCTAGATTGTTTAGTTCGAAGATCGGGGGCTCCCCTTGTATTTACAGAATATTATGAAGAGGTAAACAGCAGCACCTTTGTTTTTACTAAAATTTACAAATTTAGTGTCTGTATTTCCAACAGTGAGACACATAAAACTGTGGAATAGGAAGACGACAATTAATCAATCCCATTTGTTGTTGTTCTTGTTGTTATACAGTAGATTGAAAATTAATTTTTTAAGAAAAGTGGGTCGGTGTAGAATAGAATATTTAAAATAATAACTTGAGTCTAAACAGTCGTCTTCATTTCACAGTTTCATAAGTCCCATAAATAACCAAAGGTCCAAATGAGAAGCTTTTAATTACCTCAAAGTTTAGCAATTTTTCCCTAGGATTGTAAATTGAACCTAGCCAAGCTGATTGAACATTGTAAGTGCCGGGTAAAGGTACTCAACGACTGCACCTCCAATCCATTCTGTAGTAGGTAAAATTATTTATTTAATGATGAATGGTCGTCTTCAATCTTTTAAATGAAAATTTTCGTAATTTGTTGCATTGTTTTCAATTATAACGACTTATTGTAGCACCACTCAAATGAGAGCCCGCACTTTCTTAAAAAAAAATCTTTTTATTTTATATTTTTGCAATCGATATAAGTTAAAGCATTTTGGTGTTTTTATTCTTTGAAAGGAAGACGACATTTGAGACGGAATATATTTTTACATTTATCTATTGTCTAAACTATTAATAAGTGCCAACGTAAAGTTATTTAACGTGAGACCGGGGTTTTATAAAACTAAACTTTATATTTTCAGGACTGCAGCCCGTATACCAGCAGGATTTTCTTTAAGTCAGTATGGACGGAAAAATATCCTCATGTCAAACGATTTCATTTGTATTGTAAAAATTGATAAATAAAAAGAAATAAATTAACTTAAATTAAAAAAAAATATTCAAAATAGGAATATCAAACGAAATTTCTAAGCCTTTTGCTCCATCAATATTTTATGAACAGGAAATTGAAATGTCAAATGCCTTTCTAAAATAAAAAATTGGATCCGTCATAAACAAACAAAGCAAAACTTCTTAAATTTTCAAATTCTTACATGGTGCATGCTTAGTAAGTTATAATGCCCATTTTGAGTGACGTAGGCAGTGGCGTTTTCAGGAATTTGTGCACGGGGGGGGATTATAATTTCTTTCCTGTCTAGAGGGAGGCTTAGCAGGCAAATTTTAAAAATTAACAAACAACATAAACCTTTAATTTTGTAAAAGATAACTTAATTTCTTTCAGGCCTCTCAGTTCCATTTAAGATCGAAGATAATAATTTTATACCCCTGCTTTGCGACAGGGCAGGACATTTTTTCGACATCTTGATTGGACTGACTGTAGAATGTAAAGTGTAGAGTGTAGAGTGTAGAGTGTAGAGTGTAGAGTGTAGAGTGTAGAGTGTAGAGTGTAGAGTGTAGAGTGTAGAGTGTAGAGTGTAGAGTGTAGACTGTAGAGTGTAGAGTGTAGAGTGTAGACTGTAGACTGTAGACTGTAGACTGTAGACTGTAGACTGTAGACTGTAGACTGTAGACTGTAGACTGTAGACTGTAGGACTCAAGTGTACAGTAGCCCTAAATTAATAGAGTGGCATGTAATACAACAGTAATAAGAAAATATCTGTTTGATCGAGAACAAAGAAATATTCATGATTTCCCTCCGATAAAATTGGCTTTGCTATAACAGTGCCTTGCAGATTAATTGCCAAAGAAACAACGGTTTTTTTCTTTCAAAATTTTCCTTATGCTATATAATATGCACAATCCAAAACACATAATATGGAAAGAATAGAAATCTGAAAATTTTCATATTTTGATATTTTTAGTTTTTTTCCTGTAATACATTTGTTATAACATATTAAGCTATCAATTATTCAGAGTTTTGATGGAGATTGTTACGTTTTTTCTCAGGTAAAATACAGAAACTTGCCGAAAGATAATATTTGATTTTTTAATATTTAAACAAAAATACAAATACACATTTTAGAGCCTTAATGATACAAAAAAACGTATTTTTCATAAAATAAATTGATACTGTGGAGGAGCCAGATGTTCGTCTTCCACTACCGGACCAAGCAACCAAACCAAATACATATTTGTCATATACTTTATCTTGTGGTATTTTAGAAATAAATATATCTACAGTATGTTAATTTCTATTGTTTCTTTGCGTCGCTACATTTTGGTGACCCCAACTTAATTTTATTGCTGACGACTATAAATTTTCTCTCGCCGATGTACCCAAAATTGGTTTTGACTGGGTCCCTGTGTTTTTAACACCAAAATACCATAGTAGGGGTTTCAGAGATCTTGAGAAGCTGTTCTGGTTTACTTTCAGCGTTTGAGTAGCAATTGACTAGATGCCAGAAGAAACAGGAAGTGATGTGGTCCAGACAGCAGTACTTTTGACGACAATTTCTGTAATACTTCCATCCTATTGGACCGATTCTCCAGAGGTTTGGTTGATCCAAGCAGAAGCTCAATTTAAAAACAAGAGAATCACTTCCTCTCGCACTAAGTTAAGAAGGCGCCTCATTTAGATGTACTCCCAGAGTGATTTCCAGAGGTACCAGGCCATGCAGAGTTTTCCTTTGTTGTCTGACCAACACCCCTCTGAGCTGATGGCCAAGATGTTGGTCCTCCTCCCTGAAGATGAAAACCAGGCTTTTTTTTCAGAGGTTTGTTTATGGACTGCCTCCTAGCTGATATTCAAGCACACTTGCTCTCTAAATCTATCAGTGACCCGCTTGGAATGGCTCTTTGAGCTGACAAATTGTGGACAATCTGACAACGCAGCCTCCCTGTCCAGGCTTTATCTGATCAGTTTGAGTATGTGTATGCTTTGAGGCATGGAAACTTGTCCACGAGGTCTAGAAGCTCACAGTTCTGCGCCCAGGTCTTCTAGTGTTCCTCAATACCAGAAGATGGGAGTAGAGCTGTTCCCACCAGAGTTTGTTGGTACCACTGCCAATGGGGAGATGAGACGAGCCAGCGTAGAGCTCCCTGTTCCTGTTCGGGAAACTAATTAATAGCAGCGATTTTCCATACTCTATTCCTGCCGATTCTAATACCTCAAACCTTATATTTTTGAAGAATTCTCTTTCCTCACACAATTTCCTGGTTGACATAGGAGCACCTGTCTCAGTTTTTCCACACCGTTCTTGCTACCCTCCTACTCCGTGTGTTGGCATTCAACTGAGAACCGCCAATAGTTCTGCTATTGACACTCTTGGTTTACGTCAGATAGCTTTCCAGTTCAGTTCCCGCTAGTTTGAGTGGACTTTTCTCCTTGCTGATGTCTTCACGCTCATCCTTGGCTCAGCCTTGAAAATGAATTCTATCCCGAGAGAAATCCGCAATTTCTGACAAAGAAAGAATCGGTGAAGAAAAATATTTATTAACAGGTTTGAGATTCTTTTGTAACCAATTTTAACTAATGTATTAATAAAGAAATGGGTGAGAAATTAAGTGAGGGCCCTTTCAGTCAAGAAAACGAACCAATCTGGCGTTCTTAAAATCCATTTTGTTGATCTAAATATTTAATCTCAAGACTAATATAATCTCGAGATTATGTTAGTCTCGAGATTAACAGAAACAGAGGATTAAGCATTAATCCTGATATCCACCATTCTAAGGTTCTCAGATCTGGTTGCACCAGATAAAGGGATTAGCAGATTTCAATTTGTGAAAAAGACTTAATTCCTTTCAAACGTTTACTGTTTCAAATGTAACGTTTTAAAATTAGGATCATTTGAAATTATGCTGACAGTTAATTTGATTATAAACAGTAATTATTATATTCCTACATACATTATAAAGCTTTTCGCTCATACAAATATATACTTTACTTGTCTATCTCTCAGGTTGTTGGTTTTTTTTCATTCAAAAAAGTCAAAACGGCTGAACCGATCGGGCACAAATTTTGTGTTGGGCCTTACATGAACCCATGGAAGGGTTATGCTCGAATGATCAAAATTTCAAAAGTCAGCCTCCAACAATTTTAATTTAATTTTGAAAATCAACGAAAATTATTTTATAAAATCCGTGGGCTTTTCTTGTACAATGTATACAATTGAAAAAGGAGATGGGCGGGCCTAGTATATATATATTTTCATATTTATATATATATGTTAACTATGGCTGGCCAAACGGCTGAGCCGAATGTGCTGAATTTTTGAAGAGGTAACATATATGGCGAACACAAATTTTTTTTCTTCTTAAATTTGATTTTTTTTTTCAAAATTCGATTTTTTAAATTCCAGCACTCTTGGTAGTATGATATAAAGAATAAAATGTAAACAGATATAATATATATTTCCTAGTTACCTTAAAGTCACTTAGTATCACATATAAGAGAAACAACATGAAACATGTTCAACAACGTTTTTATTGATTTACATTAAATACATCAATATATTTGCTCTATCTACACCCTCCCTCCCCTAGATATGCCTTGTTCTAGGAGTGCTAGGAGGAGGGCGGAGCTCATATTTAAAAATAAGCGTTGGTTTAAGCGTATTATGTTCATCACACCAAATATTAAACTTTTAAACACAATATCAATTCATGTGATCAGAAATGTTCAAACAGTAAGATTAAATTGCTGTCATTTGTTATGTTTTTAAGGGAAAAAGCACCATTTTTGCGGGGGGCATTTTTCACAAATTTTTTATTTTCATTTAGATCTGACCCATTACGTGATTGTTGTGCATCCGATTTGCTTGTGTTAATGTTAATATTTCATATTTTAAAGACTGCAAATGATAAAATGAGCTTAACAAAAGATTAGTTTTTGCCACAAACCCTAATTCTTTTAACTCAATGTCGTAAACATTGAATTCTGTTAGATCAAATAATATATCAAAGGTCTGCACCGTCAGGTAGCAAAGATATAGTGATTAGAAAAATTAGCGTTTTTGGCAAAGAAACCATGTATTTTTTTAATGATAAAACAGCTTATTATCTGTATCTCATTTGCTAAAGATTTTAAACTGTTTGAGCATAAAACCTAGATCAAATTTGACTTCTTTTGTAAAGAGTAAGGCCTTTGTTATTTCTTGTAGAAATTCTTAAGAGTGCAATCCATAAATAAAAAGAAAAAACTAACCCATATTAAAATAGTTATCATTTTAAACTTAGTAATTTTAAGACAATGTATCTAAATTAACTTAAATGTAAACATATTATATAAAATTTCCAAAGAAAAATAAACCAATTAATGAAATCATAATCATTAAAAAAAGAAAACCAAATGTTAACAAAATAGAAAAAAAATTTTGCACGTCTTACAGTATTTCTTTTTACAAATCTGCTAATTGTTTAAAAATTGCAATACAGTTCCCTGATTTAATTTGAAACAGATATGTTAAATATGATTAGGTACTGTGTAGGCTTGATGTAGCTGCAGTACAGTTACACATTATCTAGTACATACATCTATACATTAACATGCACCCAGCTGTACATAAACAGTTGTACACACTAGAACATATAAACAGAATAATAAACAAGTTGAACACGGCACATTCACCACCACACCACCATTTCTGCAACATTCAACACAACAAAATTAACACAATTAAAGAGGTTGTTCAGTGATTTTGTTATAGTTGTGATTGTAAATACCAATTATTGACACCCCTTTTTAGCAATATTTTTGTCTTTTTAGAATTAAAATCGGTTAAAGTATTGAAAAACACATGTTTAAATGTCAACCTAAGAAATGTTGATTTTTGAAAGCAAAAAAATAATTGAATAATTTTGAGAAAGCTGTTAAAAAGTCACATCTTCTATATATATATATAATAAAGCTCTTCGTTCATATATTTATATATATATTCATAGCTTGTCTAAAACTATATTTTGGCCGGACCAAATTGGATTAATTTTTTTATGGAAACCTATTTGTACCCTGGGGAAAATAGGTAGTAAAAATCGAATTTCTTTTCTTCAAAAATGGACTTTTACAAAATGAGAAAATATTTTTTTCAATGCTTCAATATATGAACAATCCCTTTTAGCAATAATTTTAATAATAATACGAATTGAATAGTTCCAGAATAATTTGTTTTCAAGCGTATTTAACCAGGTCTACGAGATTCAGATACTCTCCAGGAGTAGAATGAAGTAGCAACCCTACAGCTGATTATATCAGATTTTTTAATATGTCTTTTTCCCCTTGTGCGTAGAGTTTTGCTGCTTTCTTTTTAAATAGGTGTAGGAAACTCTCCATGCAATCACTAAAATATCAACCTTTAAAAAAATAACAATTCACATTTAAGTGTTTTGAATTTTAATGTAAAAAGGTTTTAGAAATGAGAAGAGTTCCTCCTTTTTAACAGTTATTTCGTGTTTCTTCAAGTGTCCTTATTAAATCTGTCCTTCCCTTAATTAAACTATCCTCTCCTGATTTAAACTATCCTCCTCTAGCTGAACTTTACTCCCCTGAGTTGAATTATAACTATAACTTAATTAACTTGTCCTCCCACGAGTTGAACTGTCCTCCCCTGAGTTTAACTATCCTCCTCTTGTTGAACTAGCCTTCCCCGAGTTAAACAATCCTCCCTGAGTTGAACTATCCTCCCCTGAGTTGAACTATCCTCCCCTGAGTTGAACTGTTCTCCCTTGAGTGAACTTTCTCCCCTGAATATACAAGGTGTCACAAAAAAAACTGTGCAGTAGGGGTATTAGTTACTGTGGAAACAATTTTCAGGTCTCAATTTCATTCTTTCATAAAGTATAAACAAATAATTAAAAATATGACATTTGAGGTCAAAATCATAAAAATGGACCATAAACAAGTTCAGGCGTAAACATCATTTCTAATGTAAAAATATCCTTAATTAAAGTAATGATTTTTTTTTGAAATTTCAGTTTATAAAAAATATTTTATTATTGTGTCGAGGGGGGTAAGAAATTTGGTAAAAAAGCGAGCTGTGGATTGTACCAACTGTTTTAAAAATGAAAGAAAAATATTTTTGTGGTCTGGGCAAGGTTTGTACGGAGCTTTTTTTATAATGCTAATTTTATTTTCAGATTGCTCTAGCTCCAAAAGTAATGATCGCTGATCCGAACAGCTTATGATTAAAGTTTTTTCAAAAATCTTTTTTTTTTACTTCATGAACGAATAAAAATTAGACGTGAAGAATAGAAAATTTGAAAAATCCGGGAAATCGATTTTCGAATTACGCTCAAAGAATTGGTTGTTACAAAAATAGTATGTGGCATAGAAGGAAAAAAATTACATCATGAAATAACGGAAATACAGAGCTTTCTTATGACACCATGATTGAAACAATTAAACTAAATTGTTTCCTCCGTAACTAATACCCCTACTGCACAGTTTGTTAGGACCAACCTGTATTACTACGGATATGTAACCTTACCTTTTAATCCTGAAATCCACAGTAATCAAAGGATTCCCATTCACTGAATTTGGAATCTTGTTTCTGAATTCGTTCCTATTAAAATATAGATATTTAATAAAAACAAATTTTAAAATGCAAAAATAAATTTAAAACTCTTTTAGACCCTGTGCTGGTGTACAGTGGTCGGCGTTTATATCAATTCAATAAAGACGATTTAAATTTTTTTTTTCAAATTACAAGTTTACAAACAAACAAAGAAAAGCTTATTTTTTCCATATTTATGTGTATCCATACTGTTTAAAGCTGGGTAAAATAAATATTTAAATCGAAAGTCGTCTTTATTGTATTGACGACGACGACTGTACATAGTTAAGATGTTCATATATCATATTAATCATGTACACAATGTTTACTGTACTATAGATTGTATAATTAAGATGTTCATATATCTATTAATTATGTTTAAAGTGTGTACTGTACTGTAGAATGTACATACCTGAAAGGCCTCTAGATAACTGTCATGTATTCTGTACATCCCACTGTTTGCTTGGTACATCAGGGTCTCAAGTATGCGTTCATTCTTAATTGCTTTGCTGGGGAGAACTGTTTTTATCAGATCCTGAAATTAAAATAAAAACTTTATAAATAAAAAAAACTTGCTATGCTCTTAAAATCAGAGAATTTCAAAAGTAACGAAAATTTTGCGAAATTAAAATATTTTTTAAGCAATTGTCTTCAAACACTTTTTGGCTAAATTTTTCTGATAAATTATGAAAATTGTATGGCCGGTTGCTTATTGACAATATGTGGATAAAATAATCATTGCTCGTCTATGAACTCGTATTTTCGCAAATAAGTCTTGTAAATTATCATCTTAAAATAATTGTATGACCAGTTGCTTAGTTAATCATTGTATTCACAATCTTCTTTTTGATTTAGTAAACCTTTAGATATTCAATTTAATGAAAAAAATAAACAATGAATGTTTCGAAATTTTGCAAACAGCATAAAAACTTGGCGAATTTTTTTTACATTCAATGAAAATGGCTTTTGCATTTTTATAATCTTAACTTTCTTTGCAAAGATCTCATATTCTTAATTATTATTGTGACCATTGTTTTTGTTCAAGCGTGTCTTACAAAGGAAATGTTGGCGAACAATTTTAGCAAAACTGAAAGCTAAATATTTCGAAATTGGCGAAAATCGATGGAATTGTCGAAGCGTAGCGAAAATAATATTGGGAAATTTTGAGAACCCCTTTTACAAAGTCCATGAAAAGTAAAGAAAGCTCAAACCAATCCTTAGAAGATATTTCAATCATATTAAACTTAGAAAACAAATAAGATAAAAATAAAATAAATAAAAGATTAAAGAAAGTCCTTATAAAAGATTGAAACGTAAACAACAACTATCTGTTCAAACATCTTTCCAATATTTCCTCTCAAATATATTTCTAAAAGGATATCATAAAATAATTCCTATAAAGCAAATATTACTTCTTTAATTTTTAATTTTTTAATTTTGGTTGAATTTACATTTGTTGAGATGGAAAAGGGAAAACTACTGATTACCTTACTTTAGTTTCCTAATCCTTTATCTTTGCTAAATGATGGTGAGATCTTTTTTATAACTTGGCTTACTTGTTGTACAGTGGTCGGCGATTATATCAATACAATGAAGAAGACTTTTTATTAATAATTCTTTAATCCCCAACAAGTATTTTTCAAATTACAAGTTTACAAGTAAACAAAGAGAATCTGTGTATTGAAAACGTCTCTTTGTCTACTTGTTTGTGTGTTATTATACTGTTTGAAAGCTTGGCAAAAATCGAAATTTAAAAAAAGTCGTCTTTATTGTATTGATATATACAATGAAGACTATTGGAGAATGAAAAATTTGAAAAATCACAGGTTGCAAAAATTTAAAATTCGAGTTTGTGTCAAAAAACCAGATCATTGGTAACTATGATTACTTTAAATTAAAATACGCCTGAGGCAAACCCTGAGGAAAACCTGTTTAATTTGTTACAGTGGACTAGGGTCAATTTGAATACAAACCAGACCGACGGGACCCCTTGTACCAACCTTCATAATGCACGGCAAGTATCGGCCCGGCCCCGTCCGGTTCGTGTCAACTTTGAGGCGCGGCCATACTTTTACAGTACACGGACCTAATTGACCTACCCTACTAGATTATAATATCAGATTGTATACCTGTGGAGAGATTATAACTTCAGATTGTATACCTGTGGAGGAATCATAACTTCAGATGTATACCTGTGGAGAGATTATAACTTCAGATTGTATAGGTGTGGAGAGATTATAGCTACAGATTGTATATCTATGGAGAGATTATAACTTCAGATTGTATACCAGTGGAGAGATTATAACCTCAGATTGTATACCTGTAGAGAGATTATAGCTACAGATTGTATACCTATATAACTTCAGATTGTATACCTGTGGAGAGATTATAACTTCAGATTGTATACCTGTGGAGAGAGTATAACTTAAGATTGTATACCTGTGGAGAGATTATAACTTCCGATTGTATACCTGTGGAGAGATTATAACTTCAGATTGTATACCTCTGGAGAGAGTATAACTTCAGATTGTATACCTGTGGAGAGATTATAATTTCAGATTGTATACCTGTGGAGAGATTATAATTTCAGATTGCATACCTGTGGAGAGATTATAACTTCAGATTGTATACCTGTGGAGAGATTATAATTTCAGATTGTATACCTGTGGAGGGATTATAACTTCAGATTGTTAACCTGTGGAGAGATTATAACTTCAGATTGTATACCTGTGGAGAGATTATAACTTCAGATTGTATACCAGTGGAGAGATTATAACCTCAGATTGTATACCTGTAGAGAGATTATAGCTACAGATTGTATACCTGTGGAGAGATTATAACTTCAGATTGTATACCTGTGGAGAGATTATAATTTCAGATTGTATACCTGTGGAGAGATTATAATTTCAGATTGTATACCTGTGGAGAGATTATAACTTCAGATTGTATACCTGTGGAGAGATTATAACTTCAGATTGTATACCTGTGGAGAGATTATAACTTCAGATTGTATACCTGTGGAGAGATTATAATTTCAGATTGTATACCTGTGGAGAGATTTTAACCTCAGATTATATACCTATGGAGAGATTATAACTTCAGATTGTATACTTGTGGAGAGATTATAACTTCAGATTGTATACCAGTGGAGAGATTATAACCTCAGATTGTATACCTGTAGAGAGATTATAGCTACAGATTGTATACCTGTGGTTAGATTATAACTTCAGAATGTATACCTGTGGAGAGATTATAACTTCAGATTGTATACCTGTGGAGAGATTATAACTTCAGATTGTATACCTGTGGAGAGATTATAACTTCAGATTGTATACCTGTGTAGAGATTATAATTTCAGATTGTATACCTGTGGAGAGATTTTAACCTCAGATTATATACCTATGGAGAGATTATAACTTCAGATTGTATACTTGTGGAGAGATCATAACTTTAGATTGTATACCAGTGGAGAGATTATAGCTTCAGATTGTATACGTGTGTAGAGATTTTAATTTCAGATTGTATACCTGTGGAGAGATTTTAACTTCAGATTGTATACCTATGGAGAGATTATAACTTCAGATTGTATACTTGTGGAGAGATTATAACTTTAGATTGTATACCAGTGGAGAGATTATAACTTCAGATTGTATACCTGTGGAGAGATTTTGTAAAGTTTCAGATCTCTTGATAATCTATCCATACAGGATCTAAACTCAAGTTTTCCTTCCATCTTGTTCACCTGGGCCTTAGGTTTAACCTAGATTAAACAATTTACATTTACTTTAGGGGACAGTTGACGAAGACTCAAATAACCATTCATTTACAGAAATACCTACCCCATTCACAACGGTACTTTTGTATAGGCAAAAATCACAGAAATCTCCTTACTATATTATCGTTTAGAAAATACCTATCTAAACTAACCTAAGTAATTTAGCCAATTTATTCAGCAGAAACAAGCAAGAATATTAACAAATCAAAATAGAAAAGAAATGATGATATTTAAATTCTGGATGGTTACTTAAATTACTTAGAAATGACCTTTGAAAGATTTGTGTTCTAAATGATGAGAAAGATATTGGATATTTGGAACAATGTATTTAAAACTTTAATTTTGAACATAAACTTTCAAAATTCTGTAAATCCTTTTACAGTAACAGGTTGACCAAATTTTTAAAATCCCGGAATTACATGTGTAAGTATATCTGTATATTATTTTATATTACAGCCTACAGTTGTCACCAGAAAACTGCTGAATTATGTGTGTTTGTTTTATCTTTTTAAAAAATACATTGGCCGGCGTTTATATCAATACATTAAAGACGATTACAGTTTAGATTTCTAACAAGCTTTTATACATTATAAGTTTCCAAGCAAACAAAGAGATTACTGTTAATTGACAGCTTCCTTTTGATTCAATGTTTATGTGTATCCATACTGTTTGAAAGCTTGGTAGAAATAAAAAATTGAGATCAAAAGTCGTCTTCATTTTATTGATATATACGACGACGACTGCAAGTAAATTCTTAAATAAATAAATAAATTATTAGAAAGAAGATGACAACTACTTGCTACTGTTTTCTGGTGACCACTGTAGCATAATCCGGTTTGGATGAATTGACTATTTTCATGTTTTTTGAAACTCTCTTTTCAACGTACCTTGTTATTTGCCCACTTGAGCATTGCCTCGAACTTATGTAGCTCTGGTATTTCAAGATTCCGGGACATTATCATCTGTACCATTGATTCAGATAGGCTTAGGAAATGTTTATTATGAAATATAGCGAGTGCTCGCGTTTCTATGAAGGCCAGGATCATATTGACCAGCTCGCTGGCTGAGCAGTATCTCCAGTAGTAGTTCTCTAGGGAGCACAGCATGAGACAAGCGATTTCAGTTCTTTAAACAATATTATTATTTACACGCTTCATGTTTTATTTATTCATTTTTATTGAGACTATAGCGTATCAGACGAGGAAGGGGTTGCAGGGCCGCCATGAGCCTTGCAAATTGACTTCTGGAGCCTTCTGATACGCAGAATGCCCTCAAAGCCTCGCGAAACCATAAAAGGTAAAATTAAAACAGCAAGCGGAAATTAAAATGCGGAGGCTCATGGAGACGTAGAAATTGAGGCACGGAGACGATTTTGAGGTGATTCTGTGTAACAGGAGACTCCCTCATCAGACCAACCAATTCAGATTTAGCCAAAACTCTTTAAAGAAACTGAATTTTTGCCACAACTGAAAATGTCTAACCCTTTCATCTTTTTAACCTGATTTTTTAAACCATTGATCTGTCAAGCCTAGATTGGTTTATCTAACAGAATTAATAATTTGAAATATAAAACGTCAACGATATATGTGTAGCTAGGTAGAAATTCAGTGTTTGCGGCAAAATTCATTTAGAAATTTTCAAGGGATTGTCGGCTAGACTTCAAGTGATACTTTATGTAAAGAGTAAATTAAACAATCTAAAAGTTTTACTCTAGCGTTGTTTAATAATGTTTTATTTTTAACTCAATCAGATTTAAAAAACTTAAATTTATTTTGAATTATTTTGAATTTCATTGTGATTTTCAATTTATTATTTTTACAAAGAACTGAGATCTAGAATGAAAATACGATTAATATTAAATACGTTCAAAAGTAGAAATAATGATTTTTCACTGTTTTAAATAATGCAAAACATTACAATTCAAATGTTATGATTTCAGAGCCCACGATTAAAAAATCAAGATTCAGGTTTACTCTGTCATTGAGACTAATTTAAGACTCAAGATGATTAAAATTGAAACTACGTTTCCAAACCGGCTTAATATTGTATTTGGCGAATTTTCATGGTTGGGGGATTCCGGGAATTAAATAAATAAGACTCGGCATTGATACTATAATTCTCCAATAATTCTCTCTTTAAAGGGAGTGTTCGCGAAAAATGAAAGGCAGTATAGACTATAGGCTTAATGCGATAAAAAAGCGCTTTTGATCGCTACTAATCTTACTTCTATCTGTTGCGTCTATTAGGAGAAAATTGTTGAAAACGACTCACACAGAAGAACGCATTGATTTTCGAACATTCCTGGAAAATATGAAAATGTCGTCTTCATTATCAAAAATCCACGAAACAGGAATAAATGTTTTCAAAAGTAACTCTCAGATAATGAAAAATACAAAATATTATGAAATATCAACTATTTACGAATGCGTCGAAAAATAATTGATGACTATTGTTTGTAATATCTGAATGATTTGTTTGGAATTAAATTGATTTGTTTACGATCCGAGTTGAATGTTGCATCTTTCTGAATTTGTATGGACACTACGTTCTTCGGTATTAGTCGTTTTTAACAATTTTCTCCTTATAGACGCAACAGATAAAAGTAAGATTAGTAGCGATCAAAAGCGCTTTTTTATCGCATTAAGCCTATACCCCCTTTCGTTTTTCGCGAACACTCCCTTTAAGTCGAGTCTTAGAGCTGGTTTTCGGCAAATACGTGACACCTGTCGTCAAGTGATTTATAGTTGGGTCTAAGATTGGGTTCTTAAAACTGGGTCTTTGGAATTAAGACTCGAGTTGAAGTTTTTAAATCGAGTGCTCCGAGAATTTATATAAAATAGGTTTAAACGTGTACTGTGAATATTTTTAAACTGGATAAATTCTGACGATTGTCGTCTCTGTTTCTTTAATATGAGAAACTATAGTTGGAAATGATCAATGTTGAAGGTGAAAATTAAGCATATCTCAATCGTTTTGCTCAGATGTAGGTTTAAAGAAATACCGAACTGTGGATCGGTCAAGCACGTGGACGGTTCAACTAAATCTTTGACAAATCTACAGACAGTAAACTAATAATACTTTTTTACCATTTAGATATTATAAACGTAAGCTCTGGTCCTACCAAAACTACGATGACCGGCGAATTAAAAATATAAAATAATAATTGTTTCCTAATAAACTGTTTAGCATGATGAAAGCAGGCTTGAATTAGATCAGGTAAATCGTAGTGCTCAGCAGCACATATCAAACCTAAACAATTTATCTGTGATAGGGAATAATTAATAACAAGAAGTAGATGAACTAGGAAGAGTTACTTGAATAAACATATATATTGCAGGTTTACCCTCATAGGACGTACAAAGCTATTGTTAAAGCACCAAGATTATGTCATTTTGACCACCCCCCCCCCTGTTGGTCCTTTGAGGGTTAACATATTCACAATTATTTAAACTATTTCTCAACAGTTATTAATTACAACCTTAGTCTAAATAGATATAATTTCATTAGCTATGGCCAGGGATGGGAGAAAGTATTACGGATGACAAATATTACTCAGTGGAAAAACAATAATGATTAAGGAGGAAAAAGAAAAAGAATATTTGTAAAAGAATGAAAAATAAGAATTAAGGAGAAGAATAGAAAAGATATTTTTGTAAAAGAATGAAAAATAAGGATTAAGGAGAATTTTGTATGAGGATGAAAAATAAGGATTAAGGAGAAGAATAGAAAAGATATATTTGTATATTAAGAAGGAGGAGAACGAAAAGATATGTTTGGGAAAGGAGGACAAATGAGGATTGAGAAGGAGAATGAAAAAGATATATTTGGGTGAGGAGGAAAAATGAGGATTAAGAAGGCGAATGGAAAAGATATATTTGGGAGAGGAGGAAAATGAGGATTAAGAAGGAGAATGGAAAAGATATATTTGGGTGAGGAGGAAAATGAGGATTAAGAAGGAGAATGGAAAAGATATATTATAAAAAAACTTCTTTAGATTGGCGTCAAAAGTTTAATTTCTATTTTATTACATTTTAACTTATAGAATTCAAATTAATAACTCATAGAAAACTTTAATGTCGTTTGCTTTTGTTAATTACACTTTACTTAAAAAACATATCTAACTATTTTAATTAAAAAATAATCTTTAGAACTGTGAAAAACTATTTTTATATCGTAATTAAAATATTTAAAAAAATTTTCAGAAAACAAAATAATGATATTTGATTATAGAATTGAGCCTTTGCCAAAAACTTTGATTTTCTAATCTTTTTATCTTTGCAACCCAATGTCGTAGACCTTAGTATGCATTTCAAACTATAAATTCTATTGGATCAAATAATTTAAGTTTGAAATATCAAAGGTTACCACCATCAGATTACAAAGATATAAAGATTACAACATTTGACAAAGACTCAGTTCCTTTTTCCATTGAATTCCACAATGGTGAAAAAAGATAAACTTAAATAATTTTAATGTCGTTTTATATTTAAAAAAATAGGTCTTTAAAAATATTTCGATTTAAAATCTATAGCTAAGCCTGGCCAAACGGTTGGACCAAAAGGGCTAACATTTTTAAGGGAACTCATGAGTACTTCGGGAGTGACTTTAATTTAATTTAATAACAAATTTTAGACCTGGAATCCCTGTACAAGAGAGAGGACAGCTTCCTAAAAATATTAAAAATTTAACATTAATAAAATTTAATTTTCAAAAACTTTTATAATTTAAATTTTCTTTTAAAAAATTAATGAAATTAATTCAAATCTTTTCTATTTAATTTTGTTTTCCTTTTAATCTTGTTTTTGACAATTTGAGAAATAAATTACTTGATCGATTTATGCTCTTATTTTTTAATCCTCATACCTTTGATATTTCAAGTTATAAATATTCCAAGTTTGAAATATCAAAGGTTTACACCTTCAGGTTCCGAGGATATAGGGATTAGAACATTAGAGTATGATAAGAGTAATCCCTTACTCTAAAGAAATTGAGTCTTTGTCGCAAACTCAAAATTTCTAATCCTTAAATCTTTGCGATCTGATGGAGTAAACCTTTGATATTTCAAACTTAGATTATTTTGTCAAACCAATTCATAGATTGTAATATAAGGTATAAGAAATGTTGTTGTAAAGATATAGGGATTAGAAAATCAGAATTTGTGGCGAAAACTCAATTGCTTTAAAGGTATGATAATAACATGGATATTATACCTGAATGCAGATAATCGAGCAGAACTTGAAATGTTTCTGGATCGAATTCAATAATAGGAAAATCTGTTTGCAGAAGTTTTATTTTATCAACTTTTTGTGCGTCCGCGCACACGCTTAAACGTGGAACTGCCAGGTTCGCTCCATCGGAATATTTTACTCCGCGCAGATTAGGATCTCCGGAACAATCTAGCTCACTCGGCCATTTTTTTTTATCATCATTCACCAGACGATCTATCTTCTGTTTCCCCCAGGCGGAACTCAGCTGGATTCGGAGGTTAGAAAATGCGCGAGGAATACTCGGAGAATTCGGAACAGATTTCGGCCGAGGGGATTCTATCTCCGGAACCTGAAGGAAGTTGGAACTCTTCTTCCCATGGACCGAGGGGGAGTGAAGGGTCGGAGCTGGGCGAGCCAGGAGCTCTGCAACAGGTACTTGAGGAGAACCAAACACGGTTGAAATTCCATAAAGCATTTCTTGGAAAACTCTACTCCGGACACCAAGTATGGCGCGAACGCCATAAAGTTTCTTTTTATTTGCTCCCTGTCCTACTATAAAAACAATATCAAAAAGATTGTTAAGTTCATAGTTTGTGTGGACAAATGCCGCGGCAAAATCCCTCGCCATTTGATCTTGTCCCTCAAACTGATCCCTCACCGAATCCAGGAGAGGGGAAGAAGGACGCATATGTCCTATTGGACGCCAGGATCCTCGCCTGTACGGTTTAGGGATTTGTCCTGTCTCTGCGTGGTTCTGTAAGTTTGCCACTAAATCCTCCAACATCTGGCTCCGTGTTCGCTCCTGCATTCGGGCAAACTTGGGAGCTGAGTAGCTCGCCCGCTCCCCATTCACTATCTTAGCTAGGATCCAATCTCTGAACATTGGTCCCTTGTTAAAGGTTGACTGCTCCCAGAGATATGGTTTGTAGGCTCCCACTTCATCTCTTGTAACCACACTGATCTCATATCTTCTAGGTTTAAACTTAATCTTGGGACTGCATCGAACCACGATGAAAGTGTGAAGAAAATGAGATTTGATGCAGCTTGGAGAAAATCTAAAAAGAGGAAAAGCTGAAAACTTGCCTCAAAATTTAGCCTTCTAATCCTCATATCTTTGCAACATGAGTGGGTAAAGTTATTTATTTAAAAAACCAAGCAAATATATAAAGATTAGAAAATAGAGTTTGAGGCAAGAAGTCTGTTTCTATTAAAGAAATTTTATTCATGCACACCGAGTCAAAATTTAGTTGATTTCTCGAATATATTAATTGTCATCCATTTATTACCGATGGTTCTCCAAAAATTTCTTATTAATCAAACTTTAATCGTCTATAAAGAAGTCGAAAAAGCGTGTAAAACTAATTTTGTATTACTGACGTCTTTATTAATTATGAAAAAGTTAGTAGATAGTTTTTCTAGAAATATTAATGATTGAATGAATAGAAACAGACCAGGTCAAATCATACACATCCGTCATAGAATATTTACCAATATTGGGAGTCAATACTAATTCATTCTTATCATCAGGAAAAGGGAGACTTAAAAAATCAATGATATTTCGCCTAAAATAAAACGAAATGTCCAGAGATTACCAGTAAACCTGTTTATAAGAATACTAGCTTGGGAACCCAGCGTTGCCCAGTAACTCCCACCGTTTACCCATAGTTGGTCGATTTTACTGGGAAACTAATTTTTTGCTATTAAAGTAGATCTGTTCAACTTAGAATCTCAAAACCAACCTAAGAACATAACCGTGGTTTTCCTGAGTCCCCCCCCCCCAAAAAAAAGAGGGAAATCAGTCAAGGGGTTCACGTGAATTATGATCTAACATACAAACAAACAATCAGAAAAACAGAGATTACAACTTTATTTATGGACTGTAGACGTAGTTATGAGTGTGAGTGTGTTAAAAAATTACGAAGTTATTCTAATTTTTATTGTTGGACATTCTGCTCATTACGTGTCTCTTATAATTACGTTTACAGTCCCTTTAATGGTTCACTCTGTACCTAGTGTTATCAGCTTCCAGAAATACTACACAGACGATATCATTTCCAACATGTCGTTTCCTCTGCAGCTTCTGTGGATCATTCTTCTCATAGGGAAGCAGGGTAGACACATGGAACATTATCTCTATACCTCGCCAGTAGGTATACACAGAACTTAACCCTTCATTATTTATATTTAATAAATAATTATATTTTTCATCACAATCATGGGTTTTCAGTTATAAAGATGTGGTAGACGTAATTTTAAGTGATCCTTTAATTCACAACCGTACCCTTTTAAAAGATCGATGGTGAGAGATAAACTTATTTTTCTAGTTTAAAATTGACTACCTTCAGAAGCCATGTGACATCATTTGAAGGAAATATATAAAATTTAAATGTCCCATCACTTTATTTCTAGTTAGAAAATAGAAAAAGAAATAAATATAATCTCCGCGCGCGCCGTTATCATGCGCGCATAGTCATTAAGGCATAAAGGGCACTTTTATTAACTGTATATTTCATTCATTTGATGAATGGAGTGTAAATTCCAATTACGTCTACGTACATAAATTCAATGCTTATAAAAAGTCTTACTTCTGCTTTTCTGTAGCCCTTTACATTCACTTTAGCACTTTAAAGCACTGGTTTTTAGCTTTAGTTTTTAAGAAGTAATTGGCAAAACTCTCATCGACTGTTGCTTAAGAGCATGAGACCTTTAAATCACAGTGATACGGTCACCTTAATTTACTGTTTGTAATAAACATTAAATAATTACAGAATTTGGTAACTACTAGGGATCTTAAAAGACAGAAAAGCATTTTAAGAAAATATTTTATTGAAATATTGTTAAAAATTTGAATTGTATTTGAAAATCCAATATTTATTAATCTATTCCTGTGAGATCGTGAACAGTATCCAGACCTCCTTTGTACTTGTCGAATCCCTTTAATCTAACCTTGTCACCTAAATATTAAATAAAATTAAATAAAAATGTTGGTTATAATAAGGGTTATAGAATATTAACCCTTATTCTACTGACGTATCCCGGCCCATAGCCCGTTTAAACCCCAAGCTATAGCAAGTAAACTAAAGACTAGCTAATTAAATGACTAAAAGTCATGAAATCAAAAATAGCAAAACCCGACTTATTGGGCCTGTTAGCCAACAAATAAGGTATACCTCAAAAAGGAAAAGTATCGGGTTCCATACCCCCCCCCCTCAGTGCATTACCCCTTTCGTAAATCATTTTAAAGTTTGTTCGTCTCCGTGTGTCTGTTTTTAGTAGCTGCAGCTGTTAGATGACAGCTTGGACAGTTAACTTTTTAAGTTTTTTTTGGATAATTAAAAGTTAGCCTTTAGAATTTAAAAAGCAAGCAATTTGAAATTTCAGTTTTTAGTTTCAGTCAAATGAAAGCATGTCATTGATTAGCGCCTTTAGGTGTACGTCCTGCCTCCAGATCTTTTTCTAAAATGTTTCCTTTTTTCAGTGCAAACATTACATCATAGAGCTAGCCGTAGATTAATATGTTTTTTTTTTAAAAAAGAGTCTTAAAAGATATTTTAAATTTTCTGAGAGAAAATATTTTCTTAATGAAATAATTAAATTTTAAAAAAGTAAAAATAATTTTAAACCCAAATCTTCTAATTTATAAACTTTTATCAAGAAAATTAAATCTTAAATTTCTTACTTTTTTTAATTTTACGGAAAACATTTAGAGACACCAGCGGTGAAAATAGAAACTAAAAGACACTTATTCTATTAAATCAGTGCAATCACTTGTAAGCTATGTCTAAAATTTGACTTTCATGCGGGTTTTAAGTCAACAACTTATTTGGGCAGATTATTTGACAAATACTCAATTTAACAGACAGTACAAACATACGTAAATTTTNATATTTGCTATTTGATACAGATGTATCATGAGATGTGACTTTTTTGACCAAATCAGACAGCTAGCCAAAATGTGAAAAAGATAAGCAACAATTGTAGAGGTAACACATGTGTTAATTATACAGGATGTATAATTAACTAATAAACTAATTTAGACCTCTTGGCTAAAAATGGTAAAAGGGATATGGGATATGGAATATTTGCTAAAAATGGTAAAGGGGAATATATTTGCAAATTAATATCAAATTAATAATGCAAAAATAATTTAAAATCTGAAAAGCATGAGTGTGTATTAAAGGAAAGAAACAAATTTGCACAGGAATTAAGTCTTTTCCACAAAATCAAATTTTCTAATTCCTAGAACTTTGTAACCATGGTTTTTTCAAATTAAGGTTATTTGTTCTAACAAACTTCATATTTTGAAATATCTCAGATCTACGACATAGGGTTGCAAAGCTATATGGATTCAAAAATTAGAGATTGCGGCAAAAACTCAATTCCTTTACTTTTAAGGGTATCTAAGCAAAACATTGTGTAAAATTTCTTTGCATAACTTGTGCAATCTGCTTACTTTTGTCATATGCTTACAAAAGAGCTATACAATGTTAAAATCCAATGTAAGTTGGTCTAATTTAAGATTAAAGTAGGGGGAGGGGGATTAGGCAGTAGGGGGGCTGTGCCCTAGGAACCCCTCCTCAGTAGCCATAGGATTAAATTGCATAGCCCCCTTTGACCCCTCTCTCTCTATTTTACTTTCCTTGAATTTGACCTCCAATGTATAATTAAAATTATGCCATACAATAGAATCTGGGTGTGCCATTTAAACACTGACAATGATGGCTAAACAAATTCTTTGTTCAAAATTATATATTATGTAATATATGCAAATTGGTGATAAATATCAATCTATCTATCGATTTAGATTAAGTATTTCTAATTAGAATTTGATCTAAAATCCTGACCTAAAATTGTGAGAAACTCGTCAAAATTTTCACTGTTCTCGTTATTGTCTAATATCTCCTCTTCTGTATATTGACCTAAATTAAAACAAATTATGGATTAAACATTAATTACGGATCTTGAAAAAAAGTGTATTTTAAATTTGACCCTGTACATGTGTAATAAATATCGGGTCACATGATATTCTGTAAACTTTTACATTGTACATTATTAATTATCTATGTTTGTAAACTTCTACGTAAAAACCCATTATTCATTTGAACAGCTTTTCACGTAAATACGTAGCATGGTTAGCTTAATCCCTTTAAATACATACATTTAACTTATAAACATGTGTGGAGATACCTTAACTACGTTATATCTATCCTCGCTAATCCTATAATTACGCACATCTTAAATGCGCCTATTTCAAATGTGCTGTAATATGTAACATGATTGCCTTAATCATGTGATATAGATAACGACCTAGAAAATGTAATTACGTATATTAACTTTAACTTTCTTGTAACATGTAAACCTTAAATATAGCTAGTTAGAATCAGAACTCTGCTTTGATTACGGTCTAGAGTAATTGTACCCCATTGAGTTGAGATCATACCATGTTTAGGGTAGAGATCGATTAAGGGCTTGATAGATACCAATGCTTTGATAGCTACGCTAGTGCCCCAGTTTGAAATTTATAGCTGAATTGATAGCTTGTTTGATAGCTACGCTTGTGTCCCTGTGTGGCATTTATAGCTGAATTAATAGCTTGTTTGATAGCTACGCTTGTGTCCTTGTGTGGCATTTAGAGCCTGAGTAATAGTTAGATTTATAAGCTACGCTTGTGTCCTTGTGTGGCATTTAGAGCCAAGTGGGTTGTGTCCTGGTTGACTTGGATAGCAGATTGGTTGTGCCTTGACTGATACAGTTTAGGGGACGAACTTTTGAAGAGTACGGTATTTACTACACTTATATATAAATTAGCACTGTTTTCTCACTGTAGGACAGTTTTATAAATTTGATCAAAGTTTTATTAGATTCTATCAAAGTTATACTTGATTCTATCAAAATTTTATTTGATTCTATCAAAGTTTTTGAGATCTTTCAAATCGATCTTAGATCGTGACAGGCAAAGGTCACTTGGTCTACCTGGTCGGGTTTTTGGAGAACAATTGTAAAACAAAATAAACAAGTTTATTATTTTATCTGTTCATAATCTCTGGTTCGATATTACAATATCAGGAACAAAGTGTTGGGACAATTTATTACAGTGAACCAAAGATTAGAGATTGAAACTGAATTTGATGAAAGCAAAAAGTCATGATTTTTCTAAAATTTCATTTCGTACATGTTTTGTTTTCCGGATTTGTAAAGCATTCTAGCCCTGATATAATTTAAAAATCTCCTCTTTGGGGCCGTTACGCAGCGAAAATTGATGCACAATAGAGTATTATGATTTAAAAAACACTACATTTTTGCAAAAATTTGCGAAAATTTGCGAAAATGAATCACAACGGGTGAGGACACTGCCGCGAATCCATTTTGTGGTGTAATTTGTGGAAAAGTAAGACAACCCCCCCTTTCATCTGGCATTAGGTTGCTAAGCCAGGTAATGCTTTAAATTATGCAAAAGAAGGTCGGTAAAACCTTTAGATTAACATTAGATAAAGTTCAGATGACAGACATTTACAACATTAAGATAAAAATGAAAAGATTCAAAGGTTTCATGATTTTACCTTCTTTCACGTAAATAATTCCAACTTTCAGTTCCGATTTAATGAACACCTAAACAGAAAATTCTTTATTTCCATTATTTTATATTTCATATTATTGAGACTAAATTCTTTTGTTTGAGAAGCTCCTATAATATATCTAGAAGCTACCTGATCTAGTTTAAGAGCGCCTCTAATGTATCTAGTTTGAGAAGCTCCTCTAATGTATCTAGAAGTTACTTGATCTAGTTTAAGAAGCTCCTCTCATATATCTAGTAGCTACCTGATCTAGTGTAAGATGCTCCTCTTATAAATCTAGAAGCTACCTGATCTAGTTTATAAAGTTCCTCTCATATTTCTAGAAGCTACCTGGTCTAGTTTAAAAAGCTCCTCTAATGTATCTAGAAGCTACCTGATCTAGTTTAAGAAGCTCCTCTGATGTATCTGAAAGCTACCTGATCTAGTTTAAGAAGCTCCTCCGATGTATCTGGAAGCTGTCCCAGAGTGAGAGGAGGATTAAGATTGATTTCTCTGCCTAATGAAGCTACCACCTCCTCCCTATTATACCTAGGACAAAAACATTCACTCAACTAATTTCACGCACCCCTCACCCTTTAGGAAATGTAAATTCAACCTAAAGTCTTACCGCGTCAACCTTATTGCACCGGCTAGTTCGATTAAGTGTCTGCTTTATTTACCCAATGTACGGGCGATACAGTACAAACTGGGACCGGAAAGGTTGACCCAGCTAGGAAATTCTAATGCACTCAGCTGCCCGTGATTTGTTCAATTCTCTAGAATTTTAAGAAATACGCAAAATAAGGATTGTAAGATTATTAAAGTTTCCTGTTTAGCAAATACAGCTACAGTTGATTTCTGGATTTTTTGACCAAATGCGCGAAGGAGATAGAAATGTGTTTCATTAAAATCCCCGCAGAACCCGAAAACTCTGAGATAGAAAGACGACTTTTAGACTCAATTTATGACTTTGAATAGTCCGATGAACATGAGACACAGCAACTAAGCAGCGCAAAAACACCCATATTACTAAAAAAGTGATTTATCAAGGCACAAGCTCAACCTTTTGCTTTGTAACAACATCAAATAAACTTAATTATTGCTTTAATGTCGTCATCCTATTCCATAATTTCAGGTTCTCACCGTATGTTATGGGTATTCGAAACTTTCCTGATTGAATTTTATAGTAGACAATATTAGTAAATATAGTAAATATCAAGTTTGGACTTCAATGCATTTGACAACGAGAAATATGACAGCATAATATCTTATATCTTTGATTAATGTTCAGAGAGTAAGCTTACGCCAAGCTGGGCTTCGCTGTGATTATTAAGTGACTTAAATACGGAAAAGAAGCGGGAAAAGAACATGAACCAACCTTTAAAAAAAATAATATTGGAATACTGTCTCTCCTTTGCAATTGCTTCCTAGTGGAAAAAAAACAAGAGTACATACGGTGCTAAACAGAAACTGTTGACTAGAAAAATAACATTTAAAGCAATTCTTAAAAGTGTATTTAAAGTTTTTGCAAAGTTTACCAGTAACTTAACATGGTCTTTTATTAAGTGAAATGAGTCTGTTTACACTGAACAATTAATGCTTGTATTATATTCATTTGACTATCCTAAGTCATAACTTGAGTTTAAAAGTTGCCTTCTTAAAGGGACTGTGAGCGTAATTTCAAGTGACCCACCATACACAGTTGGCAATCCCCGATTTACAATGGTACCCTTGAAATCTTAAATCAAGTATGATTTAGATATCAATATTTTTGTTTATGTGAACTGTTTTTTTTATTTGCGGCTTTTCTGCTACAGTAACTTGCGCATTTCTTGTTTATTTCTTATAAATGGAATTGCAGATGCACTTGAAAAAGTGAACACTTTTAGATTCAGAAAAACGACAATATCTTCTAACTCTTTGATCAGATTAAGTTAAATCGGACATTACCATTTTTGCATGGGGTTTAATTGAAAAAAAGCTTCCTGGTTCTCAGTTTATTTTATTCCTACCTGTCTGCAAAAACACAGCTGGCTGGTATAAGACCATGTATTGTATACCCTACAGCTCGGACCAGGATTCGGAACTGATCTCGACCATTTATATTCTCCTAATAATATACTACACGTTATAAACGTCAAAACAGCTGACTTGACCGGACCAGATTAAGGTCTGTAGACATTGCCGGTCTAAATAAAAAAGTTTGCTCTTAATTATTTCGAAAAATCTCTAAATAAATAACAACAAAAAACCGCGAAACTTTAAAGTTATTGATTTTAATAAGGAAGTGAAAGTGGATACTAAGCAGAACGTTAAAAAATTGAAATTGTTATAAGGAAAATATTTCAAAGGCAAACAATTTTAGACAGAAGTAACCAAGTACATTGTATCATTTACGTCTTTCTTGCATTCTTTTAACAAAAATATGTCAAAAAATGTTGTCAGAAGTCAAATCTTTTAAGGTTTAAATCTCGGGATCATGATTTGATCTTTATCTTAAGTAAATCTACGGATCATGCCCACATTGGATATCGAGATCACTTATTTAAGATTAACAATATCCACACAGTAATAAAAAATAAAAAAAATGGCGACGTTTCGTGATAAAAACAAGAAATAAAACTTCAATAGTCGAACTGTCATCTAATTGCCACTGACAATTATATATACTGTGCCCTATGCATCAAGAAAAAAGTTTTCTAAAATTATAAAATTGGAAAAGAGAAGAAGTTTGAACACTCGACTAGTGTAAGTCTTTTTTTAAGATTAGGAGAAAAAAACGCAGGGGGGGGAGCACCCTCCCCCTAATCGTGATAGGGTTTCATTCAGATATAAAAGACGACATTTACTTTGTTTGTCTGTCTAAGTATACAAAGCAGGTAGTTTTAGCTTCAATTAGAACTTCACACCTATAAGGTGTGGAGATGAGTTTTCCAAGATGAATTTATCAATATAAAAGGTATAGTTTGTAAACCTTAAATAATCTTAGGGGTTTTTGCATATGCATATGTGTATTACAAGGGATACAGGGGATACATGGGATACAGGGGATACAGGGGATACAGGGGATACAGGGGATACAGGGGATACGAAAAATTATTTGGACGACAAAAGATAGGTTTACTTTGATGCATTAAAGTGAGAAGACAAAGACCTCCTCATGACATTTTTTTTGATACACAAGAAAATAAAATATTTGTTGTTGAACTCTAATGGTCAAAGTTGTCAAAATGAAACAACCTTTTAACTATTTGGTCAACCATAATATTTGCGTTTTCTGTTTTGTTTTATTCAAGTTGTTTGGGGTAGGGAGACAATCAGGTGGGTAAAAAGGGATTAAAATTCATAAGTTTCAATCTCATAACGTAGATCTATTTCACTCATTCAATATATTTTTCCAGTCCGGCAAATATAAAGAAGACGATAAAATATTTTTTGATGTGTGTATTTGTGAAGATCTGATTTAATAAACAACTGAAGAAACTTTTACTTATTACACACAAGTCTATCCAGTCAAAACTTGTTGTATGGGTTTTATGAAAGTAATTACGAAACTCCGTACTTTTAACAGATAAAGCAAACGGTAAAGTTTATCTCAAGAATATCGAGGCAGCATGAAAAATTTAATTTAACGAAGAACGGAATCCATGAAAAGCAATATCCCCCATTACTATAAATTCCTTTCACATTTTCTCATTTTCAATGAAGAACCGAATTCTTTGCAGCTTCAAAACAATATTTTTTGTTTAATACAGTTGGCCCCAAGAAATTGGAGAATAGGAAGTCGACATTACACATTAAAGCAATTTTATGCACGTGTCTTTGATGTGATCAAAAATCAAATCATTATACAAGAAAATCACTGCACTATTGCTATGTTTCATTTTCATTGAGATATTTAAAATCATAATTTGACTCCCTCAGTCGTCTTTTTTTCCAGAGTTTTATGGGGCTCACTGTACAACATAATTCTGTACTTTGTAATTTAATTGTAATTGATTGATGTGAGTCTGCTATATGCATTATGCATGTGTATTATTCTACGTAACACAAATGCGTAGACTTACCAGAAAACTCTATGGAATTTATTCAGTTTTTATGCTTACATTTGTAGTTCCTGAGATTTGTTTGCCAAAATATTAAATACTAATCGTGCTAATGGTAGAAATACGAGATCAACTAGTTTTTCAAGTCGTCTTTAAAGTCTCATCCTTTGTGGATAACTCTGTATCTAAACCTGAATCTACTGGGTTACCCACAAAGGATAAGATCGTAAAGACGACTTTAAACTCTTTAAATATGACAATCCCTGGGTTCAATTAAGTCTTAAATATAGTCTTTAAATGGGTTGTTAAATGTTTTAAATATTATGAAAAAGTTTTTAGTTACTTGGATATATAAGTATAAGGGAACAGAAGGTATAAATTCCACACAGTCGTCCCTGAAGTCTCATCCTTTGAGGTAAACCCTGTATATATACCTGTTTAAGACTTAGTATCACTGGTCCCAAATCTTCATCATTTGTGAAATAATTCCAGTGCTCTGTACTGTAGAAATACTTTTCATGTGTCTCCTGAATAAACAGGATCATACCAGAAAACAGATTGTCGTCCTCTTTCTCTCTTTTACTTATCAAATGGTTTTCCCTCCAAAATTGCCCATTTAAAGATTTCAATATCAATTGTGATATTTTTTAATCAAAAGAAAAAGCGAAGAAGACAATTATTACAAAGTTTGCTATCAGCAATTGGTTTCATAAAAGCTTAAGTCTTTTTAGTAATCTTAAACATTTACTCCATTCTTACTGGAAGAAACAGAATTACGTTTATTATTTTACTATCAAAATTTCTGATGAACAACTTTTAGAAAATGGAGTTTTTACATGAAAACAAACTAAAACAAAATCAATAATGAAAAAAATTGAGTTTTTGCCACAAATTTTGATTTTCCAATCTCTATATATTTGCAACCGACTTACATAATTGTCAAAAGGATTTATTTAATTTGAATTGATCAATACTATTCATTTTATTCCGCAATATTTTTACCTACATATCACAGGGTGTCTCAATAAACATGAGAATTAAGTGACGACTTCTATATCGTCTTTGTTCCGCGTGTCATTAAAACGTAAAAACAATTTTATGAGTATTCCCGTAATAAAAAATAACATCCGAAACTATTGGTCTTTTAAATTCCAAAATGTGGTCTACCATTATTGTACCTTCAAAATTGACGGAGTTTTCCAGAAATCTGCCCAGATTCCCTTTTATTTGATAACAAAAAAATTGTTTAAATGTTTGATATCCTCATTAATTTTAAAGATATAAAGAATGCATTCCACATTTTGAAAAGTTCAGAAGACATGAAATCTTTTTATGATACACTTGTTGTAATTTTAATTATCAAATATCGGAAATCAAAGACAATTTTTAAGCTGTCTCTTAATTCCCATGTCTATTGGGACACCTTGTAAAAAATGAATAAAATAATACCTAACCTGAACTACGCTTGTTAGATCAAAGCTTCCATATTTAGTCCAGTGCTCTTCAATAATTGATTTCTTCCGAACTGGTTCCTAAATTATATAGAATTTAACCTAGAATTTCGGAGACATTAAAAGAATTTATAAAATGTCAATATTTCAATGGGTTTTATTATTTTATACGATTATACCTAAATATCAGTAATTGAAAAGATAAATAGATAGTTAGAGAGCTCAATATAATTATTCAATTTGAAGCTAAATATCTACGGCATTCCATTATATGTAGGATTAGAAGACGACATTTTATAGATTTTTTTTATTCCTCTGAAATTCTGGGATTAACTTTGAATATATTTTAAAATTCTTCACTTAAACATATTCCAGATTTTTTTGCTAAACAAACGTACATTTAAAAACTTGAATTATACCTGTATAATTGGAAGACTAGTTCTGGCGTGCAATTTTCTTAAAAATATATTAATAAAAAACTTTTGTGAGTTGAATTTTTTTCTAAAAAAATTGTTCATTTTCTCACATGTCATTTATTAAGAATTGTGATAGGATTAAATTACTTTTCAAGACCAGAATTATCTTAGAATTTAGAGAAGGATTTAGTATGAAGAGAGGCCCAAGCATCCAAGTTATTTTGAAGCCATTAAAAGGATGGTAAGAGTAGTTTAAAGTGTTTTTTATGCAAAGATGGCAATGTCCGATTCAAAACAGTACCCTTGATGCCTATATCTGGTGAAAAAAGTCAAAGATAACGTAGTTTTTCTAACTCGACAGTTTAGATAATTTCACTTTTGTAGTGAACCCGGAAATAAAATTGAACAGTTTAAAGGACCAAAAACATGGATATCTTAGTCAGACTTGATCAGGCAAGATTTTAAGGGTACCGTTGTAAATCGGGCATTTACCATGAAAGACCCCTTATAATAATGCTTACAGTCCCTTCGAAATAAAAATTTTCCAAGTTTTCAATTTTAATATTTGTTCCTAATTCTTTTCAAGTTTTCCGAGTTCTCCTCTTCAGGGATTGTATCGAAATCATCGTCCTCGAACGAGTCCTAAATATTGATTTCCTCTTTGGTTTGAAAGTACATAAACAAAAGCTGGGAAATTTTGAACCGACTAAACTGGTTTCACATGAATATTGGAAGTTTTTTAACACACTAAACCGGTATGAAACAGTTTGGAACTTTTGAATTAAAACAGATTGAACCGGATTAAGAAGAATAATTCGGAACTTTCTTTGTTCCGAAGTTTACCGAACGGACAATGTTTTAAGATAAATAAACAAGAGCTGGGAACTTTTGAATAGACTTATGTCAAGCCATATTTCTTCCCCCTTTGTATTTAACTGGTTCTCCACAATGATAAATTAAGAAATCATTGACTGCTGGAAAACCTGCTAATAAGTAAATCAGCATTACATTCTCATTTCTCATTTTTTCGAGATTCGATTATTTTTAATGCTTTTTCCCAATAATACATGGCACAAATAACTAACTTGTGTGTAATAAATTGCTCTGAAAGTCTAATTTTCAAGAGGAAACACTTAAGAGTTTGTAAAGGGGGGAATTTCTGGTGGCAAGATTCAGATTTATCGTATATAACAGCACTTGTGCAGGAATTTTTAAAGTAACTGGACTTGTTAAAATTTTTTTTTAAGTGATGGAAACTCTTTAACAGACTATTGGGATTGTATACAAGGGGTTGAAGTCATTATCAAAATGACCAGATGATTTATTGAGTGAAAACTTTAATAAACCACATTTTCCGAAATTAAGTTTTCTGAATCCTTTGCAGATTATTTTATGAAAAGATATCTATTACATTAACCTGCTAAATATAGTAAAGCGCTGAATATATATTTAAAATTATACCCATACTTGGGAAGCTAGGAAAACAGCTAAGCTAAAATTACCACTGAGAGATGTCCCGAAAGGCAAGATCGCCATATTAAAGCCTTCTTTAAAAAAACTCTGATTTTACCTTTAATTTGGTCTCACATAGATGGGGGGGGGGCACGCGCACGTGTGCCCCCCCCCCTCCAGTTTACGGCCCTGTTTGTCGAAATATGCATAGTTTTTGTTAGAAACTCTGGTTTTTATGGGGGTTTTGTGGATTTTTAACAAATGTATCTTCTGCTTATTTTTACATAGTACATATATGTTCTAGATAATTTGTCTTTTGGACAAACTATCAGTTGAAGTAAATCTACCAACTAAACGCCTGTAATCAAGTATGAAATATTTATGTTAAAAGAAAATTTGACTCTCATTAATTGCCCTATCTAACGGCATTTTGCCTCTTTCATATCGTGAAAAACTGGCAATCATACGGTGGTATGCGATAATATCAATATAATGAAGACGACTTTTTTATTTAATTTTTATTGTTAACAAGCTTTTTCCAAATTACAAGTTCAGAGAAGCTTTTTTAATTGACAGTTTCTCTTTGTTTCCATTTATCGTGGATTCATGCTGTTTAAAAGCTGGATTAAAATATAAATTGAAATCGAAAGTCGTCTTCATTGTTTTATATAGTGGTCTACCACCGTAGGATTGTCAATCTCATAACATTGTGGGCTAAAATTCTTTATTTAAGTTCATGCTTAATGTTTACTGGGGTTTCTTGGATATAATATATATATACCGCACCCTGGACTAACCAGAATATTCCATGCTTAATGTTTACTAGGGTTTCCTGGATATAATATATATATACCACACCCTGGACTAACCAGAATATTCCATGCTTAATGTTTACTGGGGTTTCCTGGATATGATATATATACCGCACCCTGGACTGACCAGAATATTCCATGCTTAATGTTTACTGGGGTTTCCTGGATATGATATATATACCGCACCCTGGACTAACCAGAATATTCGATGGCGTTTTTTTCGACAATCTCACAATATACAGAGTTGCCATTTTTATTTTTTATTTTATTTTTTTGACCAAAATGCGACCAACAAAGTATTCAAAAAGCAATATTTTGTGCTCAATTGTTGAAATTGTGATCGAAAGTCACAGCTTTCTGAGCCAAGAACCGCAATGTTGAAATTGCGTGACCCCTGTTTCTGTTGATTAAAAATTATTCAAATTATTCAAATTGTCTCATCTCGTCCCCTTGCTTGTTCTACCCGCAGCACACGGTCCCCCTTGCAGCCTGCGGTGCCTGAGAAGGCTTAACCTAACCTTTGAGAAGTTGCCGCTTGGAAAATTGCAAATTTGGGAAGATGCCATTTGGGAAATTGTCACTTGGGAAGTTGCCCTTGGGAAAAACACCTATTGGTAAACTTAATCTACCTGAGATTCATGTTCCTCCTCCCGAAGTTCCTTTTCTGGTTGGTATGTATATGAAGGTGCAACCTCTCTATACAAATATAGAATTTGTTTAATTTAATGTGACCCTCAATTTATTTGTATAGTTATATGTCGATTCACTTTGGTACCATTTACACCTTTGTCGCTTTTACTTTGGTACCCTGTACACCTTTGTCTGATTCATATCAGTACCCTTTACACCTTTGTCTGATTCATATCGGTACCCTTTACACCTTTGTCCGATTTACTTCGGTACCCTTTACACCTTTGTCTGATTCACTTCGGTACCCTTTACACCTTTGTCTGATTTATGTCGGTACCCTTTACACCTTTGTATGATTCACTTTGGTACCCTTTACACCTTTGTATGATTCACTTTGGTACCCTTTACACCTTTGTCTGATTTACATTGGTACCCTTTACACCTTTGTCTGATTAACTTCGGTACCCTTTACACCTTTGAATGATTAACTTCAGTACCCTTTACACCTTTGTCCGATTTACTTCGGTACCCTTTACACCTTTGTCTGATTTACTTGGGTACCCTTTACACCTTTGTCTGTTTTACATTGGTACCCTTTACACCTGATTTATGTTGGTACCCTTTACACCTTTGTCTGATTCACTTCGGTACCCTTTACATCTTTGTCTGATTTATGTCGGTACCCTTTACACCTTTGTCTGATTCACTTTGGTACCCTTTACACCTTTGTCTGATTTATGTCGGTACCCTTTACACCTTTGTCTGATTCACTTTGGTACCCTTTACACCTTTGTCTGATTAACTTCGGTACCCTTTACACCTTTGTCTGATTCACTTCGGTACCCTTTACATCTTTGTCTGATTTATGTCGGTACCCTTTACACCTTTGTCTGATTTACATTGGTACCCTTTACACTTTTGTCTGATTCACATTGGTACCCTTTACACCTTTGTCTGATTATCGACGAAGAATATATTAAGATTTTTCCACCATCCTGTTTCACACAAAGATTTTAATGGTATTGTTGTGAATCGGATCATGCTATTCTGCAAAGGAAAGGTCACTTATAATATCGTATACAGCCTATTCAATAATTAACATTTAGCAGGACGCAGGAATGCCCCTGAAGCAACTTCTACTCATTCACATTCAGTTTCCTCATAAAAACAAACTTGTTCAGTGTACATGAGTTTTGAAAATACTTCCAAAGGAAAAAAAAACAGCTTAAAAAAAGGAACATTGCTTTTAGATCATTTTGTGTCCTACGCAGGTCAAATACTTCAAAGTTAAAATTCCTTAATTAAAGTACTTTTTGAAAGAGGCTGAGAGCTGGAGTTTTTGGATGGAGTTCAATTTACTGACTAAAGCTTTCAAATCATGTGGACGCTATTGGATTTGCTTCAACTTCTAAAAGTTAAGGAAATTAAAATAGTTTAAGATATGGTTGAGTTTCCTCAGACCTCATTCAACTTCAATCATAAATTTCTATCTCTGGAAATGTTCTAAGTCATGGTAAGGTGTTATGTTAATATTCGACTTGCAAAATCTTGCCCAAAGCTGGTATACAATCTCAGCTTAAAGGTAGAGTTCACAAAGAAAATGAAAGGGGGTATAGGCTTACGTCGAAAAATATTCAATGATGATTGCTATTAATCTTATTTTCTATATCTTACGTCTACCTTGGAGAAAATTGTTAAAAACGACTTATACTGAAGAACATAGCGTCAATACGAATTCTGAAGTAGCAATATTTAACTCGGATCGTAAAAATCAATTTAATTCCAAAGAAATTATTGAGATATTACAACCTATAATCATCGATTTATTTCGACGCATTAGTATATAAATAATTAACAAATTAACTGAATTATTTTTTTAAACATAAATTTAAAACAATTTTTTTTCATTTTGTGAGAAAAAAAGATTTTAGGAAAATCTAATTATTTGAAAAGCTCACAAGTCTCCTTATAGACGCAACAGATAGAAGTAAGATTAGTAGCAATCACCATCGAATATTTTTCGACGTAAGCCGGTACCTCCTTGCATTTTTCGCGAAAACTCCCTTTAAAGTCTAGTTGTGGAACGGCTAATTAGAACAATAAGCCGACCACCCCGGACTAACCAGAGTTAGAGGTATTCGGTTTCTTCTATTTGAAATCATATGCGGTTTGGTTTATATTTTAACAATCTTTAAAGTTACGGATTTGTTTTTTACTTTTTATTCAAAAAGTATATGCCGGCAAAAAAATATTCAAGAAATGAGGCTGAAAAATAGGAGAAACTGTGATCGAAAGTTATAGCTTTCTGGAATATTGACAGAACCATTAAATCCACGTGTGACTACAAAAGTCGAGTTGTGTTCGTTGGGATTCTATTTACCTGCTGCACTCTATCCAGTATCCAGGATTAGGGATCAGACTATGGGGGTAATATTCACAAAATTCATCTGAGCAAGCCTGAGGGGGTAGAGGGAATATTAGAGTAGTTGAACTCTTTCGTCGAGCAACTGCACATCCTGGACAAACAAACAAATATGTATGATTAAACATCTTTAATGAGAAATTACAATTGTAAATATTTGATATTTTAAATTTAATTATATGGTGGAATGGGATATAAACTGTCATGCGCTTAATTTTTAGCAATCAGTTAAACGGAAGATTTTACATTAAAACCTTATGGTGGTATTTAAAGTTTTGTTGCATGTTTCTAATTTCAAAAATTGGAGAATTAAGTGAACTTTTCAGAAAGATGAAAAACCACTTTAGAATCAATATCAAGAGGCATATCTTGCTTTATTTCTTGTGTTCTATAAGTGACATATTATGGCATAACTACAGTATGCACAGTAGCAAAATACATAAATCACCCAATAAAAGAAAGCAATTATAGTTCATAATATTTCCTATAATTTAGTCACTTCTCTCAAAATATGAGTTTCATTTATCAAAGACAAATGTTAACTCGTAAATATCATTCACAATAGTTTCTTTCTGGGAATAGAGCTTGGAGTACTATTGGAACATTATTGATTTTTCAAATCATCAATTATTTGTAAAAACCAATTAATTTTTTTCTCTCCTAATTTTTAGATAGGTTAATGTATCAATAAGTGGAAAACATCAATAATCAACCCTCTTTAGTCGGGCTGTATTCTTGTTTTGATTTGTATACAAAAAACATAAAAAAAAACATGTTAGTTAAACGAGGGAGGGAGTCCAGAGTTCCTCAAATAGTAATCACCGCCACCCAAATCTGTTTTGCGGCAAGCGCACTCCTCAATTGGAAATCTTCACCACCTCAATTAGTAATCACCGTAAAATTTTATTTTCTGTGATTTGAATTTAATGCACTTTTAACACAATTTTCGACATCTGTCGGGGTTTTATGGCATCTGTATTGACTTAAACTAAATTTTCAAATTATTTTCAGATTTGTTTGGTCAACAAAAACTGAGAAACAAGGCACAGTTCTTTTTAGCAGAATCTTAGATCCAATTCGCCACTTTAATGACTGCATTTCATGATTGGCGTCAAGATACAAAAAAGGTCGGGCTGCCTGTTTACTAAAAATTATCTCATCCCACCCAAAGTAATATTTAGAGGAAAATGCCGCAAACATTCTTAAAGCGAAACTTGAAACTAAAAAACGTAATATATTTCTAGCACTTAGTGTGGCATATTTATTGATTTTTTTTTCGAAACTAAGGAGCAATAAAGAAAGCTTTAACAATATTGCACACCATAGGGCCATTAAAAGAGGTCAATATGGTCTTATTTCTAAGAAATAAACGATTTAATTTTATGCCTTTTTGGGCTGATTACAATTTGAGGTGGTGGAGATTACCAATTGAGGAGCGCGCTTGCCGCAAAACAGATTTGGGTGGCGGTGATTACTATTTGAGAAACTCTGGACTCCCTCCCTCGTTAAACAAACATGACAAAGAAGAAAACATTTTTTTTTCTTTTTTTCTTCACTATTTGCTTCAATTTTCGGCAAATAATTGTTGGGCGTTTAGTTTCTTTGGTTTTTTTAAGACTTTTCAAGTTCCATAAAATTTTGAGAAGTTTTAAAAATAAAAAATGTTTATTCGTAATATTTTCTCTTCTTTCACTATAAATTATAGAACTTAAAAACTTTCATTCCATTGAAACTATTTTTTGATTTAATAAATCCAGTTTTTATTTATTCCAAGTTAAACAAATATATTGTTTTATCTTTAAGGTTGTTTAGAGACTTGAAAATTAGTGGAAGGACGAGCATTTTAAGACGGATTGGTCGAGAACATGAGGAAATGGTGCTCGCCGAGAAATCGTTGCGGCTGGCTTTCCTCCCCCTTCGAGGGATATAAAATATTAAGACACAGAGCTGAAACTTTAGAATTGAGAATATCGAAATCAATGCTTGATCTCCCTTTTAGCTGATCTGCAGATTATTATAATCTTTATTTTTGATCTCCAATAAAGTATCAAAAATTTAACCAATAAGAGAGTCGATTTCAAAAGCAGAATAACAAATCAGAAGCCGGTAAATTTTACGCGAGTACTCTCATTGGTCAGAGCACAGCAACAAAAAAAGTGAGAAGTATTAGGAAAATCAAGTTTCTTTATTGAATATTCAGATTTAGCAATCCGGATTAAGGGTATCCAATTCTAAAGCTTTCAGCTCAGGCAAATCTTTATTAACGCCTCTGCATCAGGTTAAAAATATAAAAGGATAAAAGAAATTTAGAGGCGGGTAATCAGTTCTTATGTGCATTTATTTTTTATTAAATTACCTAAACTTTGCGCTTTAAAATTTCTGAGTTGTTGCATGAAATCAGAACTCTCCATTAGTGCCATATCTGCAAAGTGTAGATCACAGAGAATCTGGTTTTTAAAGCGTCGAGCTCTCTTCTGGTTTGGGCCGGTCAGGTTCACACCACAGCTGTTACACCTGGAAAAAGAGGGACTTAAAGGGACTGTCAGCGTAATTTCAAGTGACCCTCTATGCAAGGATGGCTATGCCCGATTCTCAACAGTTCCCTTAAAAGCTTTGCGGTTTCTCTGCAAAACTGTCATTCTCATTTCTACTGTAGGAGAACTTACAGAAAAAATCAGAGTTAAATACTTTTAAAAAAGGAATGTTCGCAAAAAATGAAAGGGGGTATAGGCTTACGGAGAAAAATAAGCGCTTTTGATCGCTGCTAATCTTACTTCTATCTGTTGCGCCTATAAGGAGAAAATTGTTAAAAACGACTCATGCTGAAGAACGCCCATGCAAATTCAGAAAGTTCCAACATTCAACTCAGACCGTAAAATAATCCATTTAATTCCAAACAAATCATTCAGAAATTACAAACAATAGTCATTGATTTAGTTTTTTTTTTAAATTATATTTCTCTGGTGGATTTTCTAACAAATTCCTGGAAAATATGAAAATGTCGTCTTCATTATCAAAAATCCTCGAATCAGGAATAAATCGTTTTCTAGGAAATTACCGATAGAAGTAAGATTATTAGCGTTTAAAAAAAACACTTATTTTTTCGCCGTAAGCCTATACCCCCTTTCATTTTTCGTGAACACTCCCTTTAAATCTGGAAAACCTACAGCATCTTACACATTGAAGGATTCAAGAGCACCTTTTAATGAAGTTTTTGAGAAAAAGGAAAAATTGTTTAGTCTTAATAATAGTTAAATCCGAAATCGATTAACACTACTTTATTTTTTATCTTTTGTGTTTGTAACGAGAAAATTGTCAATTAAAAGTTTATGACTGAGAGCTGAGAAGTTCTGTGAATTCTCAGAGTTGCAAATTAAATAATTTAATTATTTTTTAAATAAAGAAAATTGAATTGATTTCTTTCAGCTGTTAAATTCCCAAGTGTAGATGTAAATCCCACTTTTCTAGATTGTGTTAAGATAGATAGATCACACAAACAACAGTTTTTAAATAAAAAAGACGGCTAAGTTTTAAAGATTTAGCTTGTTTTTCTATACTCCTTTGACCACTTTAAACGTTACGAAAACCACAGACAAATGGCTAAAAGACTAATATGTATAATCTCACCACAACACATCATGGTTACATATAAATTAATTGATACTCTTAATACTGATTCTAATAGATCTAAAGTTTGTAATCTTAAATCCATATTTCATACTGAAAGTAAACACTTATTTTAAGAATATATTTCTAAAACACTATATCCTGTTTTTCCAATCAAAACTAGTATATTCTGTGAAGTATGTTGTAAATGGAATTACCAAGAATAATAAAAGATTTAAAACATGACTTTGAAAGTATTGAAACCGATCTATAAATTAACGAACGTGGAACGAGATGTAATATATTGAAAAAAGCACTGTCGAGAATTTTTAACGTTAATAATCAGGAACGCGTTCCTAATCTGGAATGCGCTTTAAACCAGGAACACGTTCTCAATCATATAAAACTTACAAGTCATTTTTCCAATATCATGGTAGATAAATCTTTTGTTAAGACTAAAAATTCCAAATAGCTGCTCGTATATTGTCTAGCTATAAATCTAAACAGCTAATAAAAATGTCTAATAAGGTGAGAATATTACATACATCATACAATTAATCTATATGGGGGGGGGCAATATTTAAAGAAAATAATGTTCAATACCAATCATTGAAGTATTGCATGCATGTTTTGTAAAATAAAAGTAAAATATAGATTAGCAGTTCAATTTTCTTTTGCTTGCATGCTTGCTCTACCAATACTATAGGCAATGACTGATCTATTTCTTTAAAGAGACTATAGACGTAATTTCATGTAACTTTTCATTTAAGCATGGCATTTCAGATTCATGAAGCCGTTTTTCTATTTTAAAATGTATTGAATTCTGATATTTTTCTACATTGTTTCTAGAGTATTCCGTAAGCACTTTTAAAGAGATGAAAGAAAAATAAGGATATTTCTTTCATCCACACTATTATCGGAGGAGCATTTAAAATTACGTAAACAGTCCCTGTAATATCCCCCCCCCCATAATCGGAGTTTTTGGGAGGGTATGAAAAGTTGATTTCCTATAGTGCATACCCCAAAGCCAGATCAGTTCTGATTTTTATGTAAGAGAATTGTTTAGGCTTTCGGTTCATTATTAGGATAATGAAGGTTTAGCAGTATTGCAGGATTCTGATTGGTCAAGACAAATATTATTATCTCTCTCTCTGATTGGATTTGACCTCATCACTTACCTACGGTATTCTACAGTATTTTACAGTATTTTACAGTATTTTACAGTATTTTACAGTATTTTACAGTATTCTACAGTATTCTACAGTATTCTACAGTATTCTGCAGTATTCCGCAGTATTCCGCAGTATTCTACAGTATTCTGCAGTATTCTGCAGTATTCTACAGTATTCTACAGTATTCTACAGAATTCTACAGTATTCTACAGTATTCTACAGCATTCTACAGTATTCTACAGTATTCTACAGTATTCTACAGTATTCTACAGTATTCTATAGTATTCTACAGTATTCTACAGTATCTACAGTATTCTACAGTATTCTACAGTATTCTTCAGTATGTTACAGTATTCTTCAGTATGTTACAGTATTCTACAGTATTCCGCAGTATTCTACAGTATTCTACAGTATTCTACAGTATTCTACAGTATTCTACAGTATTCTACAGTATTCTACAGTATTCTACAGATTTCATCATTTTCCATCATTTTCATTGGAGATCATATGTTTTCACAGGAGAACCCCAGATTTGTATGGGATGCGGCAATTTCCCAAGTTTGTCCTAGCCACAGCAATTGGCTCCTAGCCAGTTCTAGTTGCAGCTCTCAACCACCTACCTGTCCTAACCTCAGCGCTTGGTTCATTGCAGCCTGTGCGGTAGCGCCTCAGAAAGCCTAACATAACCTTTGGGAAATTGCACATTTGGGACAATGCCTTTGGAAAAACACAGTATTTAGTGTTTGAAAATAAATAAATACTATTCCTATTAATAATTGCTTCTCTCACCGGATTTATCCAAATATTTAATTGTAAGAATATATTTGTTGATATATAAATTATTTAATTCTAAGAGTCAATTGAGAAAAGTTAGAATATAAAATAACTAAGTAATAACACTTTTAATTGAGAAGATTTTTTTAAAGGTTTGCTCTGAAGTAAGAAAATTGAGAAATACTGTTCATATTAAACATAGTAATAGTTTCTCTAATATTGAACAAATAATAATAATAGTGAACTTTAATGTTTCTGGAACACCCTGTAGAAAAAATACTGAAAGCAGCATTTTAAAAATGCTTCTCTTACATAGGGTTAGAGTTCAATCCTCTAAACATTTATCTTTGTATAATGAATATTTTTCCTTTTGCGCACAACCTTGCTATTTAAACTTCGCACACATTCCAAAACTTGTCCGTTACTGTTATCAGCATGAACGTAGTTCAAGAGCACCCACAATTGATAGTATCAACACTCCATTATGGTCTAGTGGTTATAGGACAGCTGGCTCTCACCCAGCAGGCCCGGGTTCAGTTCCCGGTAACGGAATTCCTTTTTTGGATTTTGTTAGCATACAAAAATTAGGAACTACTATCAATTATGTGAATATTTAGGTATTAATGAATTTTGCTCCAAGTACGTTATTTATTTTTCTAGAGGGGCTAATTTAGGTTATTTGAGTAATATTACGAAATTAGTCTACAGTTAATCCAGGCAAATAAGACAGATTTAATAATCAAATATCTTATACTAACCCGATATTCTTCTGGCCATTTTACAACCATCTTATTTAATAAGAAATTTTAAATATTAAAGTATTTAAATATGAATTTTTAAAACATTTTCTTCTGAAATGCCCAAAGAAAAATGGATGTTTAAAAATTAAGATTTTTTTAAAAAACCATGTTTAGATTTAAAATTTTAAATCTTAAATTTTAAATTTTAAAAATAATGATTACAAACTTTGCAGATTGAAAACACGCTGTAAGAAATCAAAAGTTTCAAAACATTATCATTTATCATTTACTGTTTTTGCTATATTAATATCATTATCATGATTATTACTATTATCATTAATATTATTATTATCATCATCATTATCATTATCATTATCATTATCATTTTCATTTTTCTTTTCATTTTTATTTTTATTTACATTTCATTATCATTGTTATAATTATTATTATTATTGTGGGGAGAGAAATAAATGACCTGTTGATAATGATACACTGATTTCTAGAATACAACCAGATAAACTATATGACAGAATATATATTTGGTTTGGGTTACTCTGGAATTGAAAGACAACTATCTAGCTCCTCCACAGGGGTCCCCCAAGCATCTTGAGCTATTGTAGAGAAACAAGATGCTTATCCCTGACAACCCTTTAAGGTTTTCTCTGGACTAAGGATGAAATAGGTACTGGAGGAGAAAACCAAACCTTCTTCTTTACACATGTAGCTGTTGAACATGGTGTCGGAAGACTTTGAGTCAGAGGTATCTGAGCTGGAGGTGTAGGCATCGGAGGTAATTGAGGTCTACCTCAGCAAGGGGGCTCCTAAGCTGTCAGAATCAAACTTGGAGAGAACTGGTTTCAGTTGTTCAACAGAGACAGAGTCTGTCTTGGAACCAATCTGGAGAACGAGAGATCAATAGATAAAAACCTCTGTAGAGCAGAGAAAGGGAAGGTTTGGACGAATCCTCTCTCACAAACACATTGGAAGCGTTCAGAGCAAACTTGGTAGAACTTGTTCTTGAACTGGATTTGAATAAGCTGAACTGTAATGCAGCAGAGAAACTGGATTATTCTTGATGATTTGTTGGATTAGGCAGAGATACTCTGGAGCAGGGAGATCAGGGCTATCTAGGAACTTTTCAAGTAGAACCAACAGAGAACCAAAAACAGCTTCAGAGGAGGAAATTGTTAAATCTTCTTTGGGAACACTTTAAAGACCAAGTAGAACCAGGGGAATTAGATTCCAAAAGCCTCTCAACAATCCAGTTAGATTGAGGATGGAAGGAAGTAGTAGGAGAGTGAATTATTCCCAGCAACATGCTCAAAGAAGACCAAATAGAACCAGTGAACCTATCAGAGGTTTTTACTGAGGGTACTCCAAAATGAGGAATCCATGAACGTAAGAGAACTCTTGCACAATCTTCTGCATGTGGTAGACTTGATAGGAATTGCTTCAGGCCATCTTGGAAAAAATCAATGATAGTAAAAGGTAGGAGAAACCACCAGACTGAGGGAGAGATCTAACCAGGTCAACATGAATGTGAGAAAATCTTTGTCCTGGAACTAGGATATGGTGAAAAGGATTCTCGATGTAAATCTTAACCTTACTCCATTGACAAATTAGAAATGACTGGGCCCAGAGGTTGACATCTCTGCACAAGAACTCCAGGATAAAACTCTAGAAATTAGTCTCTGGGAAGTTTGTTCACCAGGATGAGAAACATTTTGGATGGAATCAAAAACTGTTCTTCTCATAGGCTCTGAAACCAGAGGTCCGAAAACATCAGTTGAATATCACAGTTAGGAGCAGGAAACGGTAACAGAGACAACCTTCAGTGCGGAGGATTGGCAGAGGTTTTGAACCTTAGAACATGACTGCTGGTGCAAGGACATCTCAGAATATGATATTCCTGGAACTGATGGCTGGGGAGGCGATGATATTGCGTTTTTAGTAATCTCCACTGTTAACTAGTTTCCCAACTGGGAACAGAGAGCTCAACACTGGTAAGCTTCATCTCCCCATCAGCGGTGATACCAGTAAACTGAAATGGAACCTGTTCCACTCTCATCTTTCAGCACTGAACAACAACTAGAAGACCTCGACAAAGAACTTTGGGCTCCTGTCCTTGACGAAGAGTTCCACTGTGGAAGAGCATATACATCCTCAAACTGATGATTAGATAGAGCTTGAACAGGAACATTACAACCACAGATTGTCTGCAACTTGTCAGCACGCTGGGCCATTTTTTGAGGATCACTGATAGACTCAGAGAGTAGGTGCGCACGAATATCAGTTGGAAGACATTCCATGAACAGTCCTTAGAAGAAAAACCCTGGTTTCTCATCTTCTGTTCGAAGGATCAGCATTTTGTCCATCAATTCTTAGGGTCGCTGGTTGGACAATAACTCTGAAGAACCTGGCACTTCTGAAAATCACTCAATGGATACATCTGGATGAGACACCTCCTCATAGCTTCATAAGATTCAGCAATCCAGGAGTCTGCAGGCAACATCTTGAGGAAACACAGCATCACAATGTGTTAACCTTGTCTGGATGAAGTGATTCTCTTGTTCACAAACTGAGCCTCAACTTGTAAAACAAAACTTTAGGAGAATCGGTCCAGAATGAGAGAAGATTTTCTGACACTGTTGTTAAAGGGACAGGGCTCAAAATCTCATCCCTTATAGGATTAATTGTTATCTTGTCAATCGCTACCAACACTTAACAAAAAAAAATCCCACTATGGTATTTGGGTGTGGAAAACACAGGGACCTGGTCGAAACCAATTTCAGGCATGTCAGCGAGAGAAAAAGAAATTTGTCAGCAAAAATTATTACATTGGGATTAACAAAATGTTGTGACGCAAAATGATGAGAGAAATAAAGAATAAAATATAACGAGGTAAACTATATGACAGACAGAGTATATGTTTGGATTAGGTTGCTCCGGAAGTGGAAGACAACAATCTAGCTCCTCCACATTATTATTAATATTAAAACAAAAAGCAGTAAATTTCTATTTCTTATTTGTTCAAAAACTAAAAGTTTACAAACACCAGTTCTTCCACTTTCTCTCTGTAAACTCTAGTTCTCCCACTTTTTATCTGTACTAAACTCTAGTTCTCCCACTTTCTATCTGTAAACTCTAGTGCTCCTACTTTCTATCTGTAAACTTTAGTTTTCTCCTACTTTTTGTCTTTAAACTCTAGTCTAGTACTCTTCCGTTTTACCTGTAAACTCTAGTTCTCTCACTTTCTATCTGTAAACGCCAGGTCTCTTACTTTCTACCTATAAACTCCAGTTCTCCTACATTCTTTCTACAAACTTTAGTTCTTCTACCTTCTTTCTGTAAACTTTCAATCTGTAAACTCTAGTTCTCCCATTTTCTATCTGTAAACTCTAGTTCTCCCATTTTCTATCTGTAAACTCCAGTTCTCCTACTTTTTATCTTTATTCTCTAATCAAACCAATAAAATGTGGAAGTCTAGATTCTTGGCAAAATTCAATCTTTAAAAGATTATTTTTGTCATCAAAATTTAAGTTGTAAAAGCATAAATATTAGAATCAGGGGGCGGAAACATCATGTATGTGTGTCTGTACCAAAAGAGTGTGTGTAAGTAATTACGAACCGAAGGCGTGTGCTGTAGGTAAAAATACATTAGATACGAATCTCGGTATTTGCACAGTCTAGGAGAGTTTATTTGTTTATTGTTAATTGTTTACTTAAAAATAAGTTTGATATACATGTAAAATATTATTTATATATATTTAAGTCAACACTATCAGCCAAATTTTCATGCTAAGAAGTATACAATTCAAGCTTTATTAAAATTGAAGACATTGTTCTGCAATTTCCTTGACTGTAGGCATGATGTGTGTCTGTACCAAACGAGTGTGCGTGTGTAATAACTAACTCGTCTGCAAAGCAGTGCGACTGGCTTTCTCATGCTAGACCAGCGCCATTTCCCTTCCCTTTATCCCTATTCCCTGATTAGAATAGATTGTTTAACCAGACTATAAAGCTGTATATCATGAACTCGTCATACAAAAAGGTCAATGAATACGTTTTGCTTCTCGGGGTGAATCTTTAGAAAACAAATTTATCTGATCAGTATATTGTTATTGGTGTGTTTTACAAAACATCCCATCCCATACATTTGTACGGAGCATAAACAATACTTGCCGCAACTCTTTTATCCAATGTACTGTATGGACGAAGCCAGTACAGAGCTAATTTCATATTTTTAATTTCAGTTAAAACACTCCTGTATCCGGTGCAGACGACATGAGCTATCTAGTCTAATTTATCTAGGTGTGAAAATGAGTTTGTTTTGAATACGCGACAATACCAATTCCAATTAGGGATATGATAGAAGATGGAAAACCTGGGTATGGTTTTTAAAATGGTCAAGGGTTTCAATATAAAATTATTTTCTATTGTAATTATGATTTTAGAAAATAATTTAATAAAGGGAATTGAAGTTTTATTATTGACATTTTGTTTCTTGATATATATTTATATATTAAAAACCTAAACTTTTAATTTGTGCCCATTTCTTACACTCAGTGATAGAAATGGTCCATAAACCTGATACGGAACTAATTTCCCCTGAAACAAAACTGTTCTTTTACGTCTGGTTCCCTTAACCACTTTGGTCATAAAAACATTCTGAATTAAACAATGGGTTAATGGTAGATTTAATAAAAAAAAGTGTTTGTAAATTTAAAAAGTGAGTTTACCGAAGACATTCCTCATGATAAGTGTGGTTTTCATACAAGAACCCATCATCATCCCCACCTCTACTCTCTCCAAACAATCCAACCTGGGCAAAATTCAAGATTTAAAAATGCGCCAATTTCTGATTGATATAAAAGCAAACGTTTTCGCAGATTTCAAGTTTTAACAAAGTTTCACAATATTTTCTTAAAATTTTGTTATCCAGACAAAAATAAACAGGGTGTTGAAACATTTCATAGAAACACATATCATAGATAGGACATTTTCAAAAAAGGGCATCTCATAAATACACAGATTTTATTTTAGAAGGGAAAGGAAAACATCTTTAAATTCTCATAGTCACTACTCACTACACAGTAGTCAGTAGTTTCACGGAACATTCCAGTTCATTTCATGTACCGGGCCGAATTTTAACTAGCCAGGGTAAGCAGTACAGTACAAATAAAGACTTTATGAGGCAAAACGGGGCTGTACGCCAAATGAATATTCCCCTTCTAGTGAAATTTATGTGGTCTCTTGATCATTAATTATTCTCTTAAAGGGAGTGACCGGCAATGTATGAATGTACAGAAAATGTTTGTGGACAATGAGACATTACGGAAACCAATAACTGAATAAGATTACTTATTTTCAATGATATATAATAGTTAATTTTTATTTTCTCAAACTGTTCCTAAACAACTGATTAGTTTACTGTACAATTTTTACTACATTTTTCGGAGTCACGGAAGTTCGTAGTAAGATTTTAACTCCACTGGAGACCACCGGAGGAAATTCTTTCTCACTGGAGGGGTTTCAAAAAATGCTTTTTACAATTAAAAACTTTACGCAGGGTGATTTACATTCCACTGGAGGGATTCAGAAATCCTTTTTATGGGTTTATAATTCCACTGGAGGGATTCAGATATCCTTCCTGGGGGTTTATAATTCCACTGGAAGGATTCAGTTATCCTTCCAAGGGGTTTATAATTCCACTGGAGGGATTCAGATATCCTTCCTGGGGGTTTATAATTCCACTGGAGGGATTCAGTTATCCTTCCAAGGGGTTTATAATTCCACTGGAGGGATTCAGATATCCAGGCTGAACAGGATGAAAAAAATGAGTATAAACTAAAAGGAAAGACAGATGAAAAGTATGGAAGGTTAACAAGAATGATAAACCCCCTGAAAAAAGATATCTATATCCCTCCAGTGGAATTATAAACCCCTAGAAAGGATATCTGAATCCCTCCAGTGGAATTATAAACCCATAAGAAGGAAATCTCAATCCCTCCAGTGGATTTATAAACCTCCTGGAAAGATATCTAAATCCCTCCAGTGGAATTATAAACCTCCTGGAAAGATATCTAAATCCCTCCAGTGGAATTATAAACCCCTAGAAAGGATATCTGAATCCCTCCAGTGGAATTATAAACCCATAGAAAGGATATCTGAATCCCTCCAGTGGAATTATAAACCCCTAAAAAGGATTTCTGAATCCCTCCAGTGGAATGTAAATCACCCTGCGTAAAGTTTTAAATTGTAAAAAGCATTTTTTGAAAACCCTCCAGTGAAAATAAAATCCCTCCGGTGGTCTCCAGTAGAATCGAAATCTTACTACGAACTTCTTTGAGTCCATTTTTCGTCGTTATTGAGTAATTTTTTAAAAACCAATTCTCAAAATCATCCCTCAAAAATGACCAATCTATGAGGATTTCAAAGATTGAATTTGCCCTCTTACTGAACAAATATACACCGTAAAAACGTCTCATAGGTTTAAAATGATCTCCACAATACTTCATTCTAAGTTTAGCTCCCATGCCTATCCGGTCATTCCCTTTAATGAAAAGTTATAAATGTACTCTTTATTTATGCACAAGAACTTTTAGTTTTCTTTTATTTTTCTCATTAAATAGAAAATAGTAATTATCCGAACTTTTCTTATTTAAATTTTTCATTACTTTCCCATCAAGGAGGGAAATTTTCTTTATTAAATACTTTGCTTGTTGGTCTGGCCATCTGCTTATATCAAATAAATGTCACTCTTAACTGCTAAACCGATCTGGCCTTATTTTTTGTGGCAACTCACTTTACCACATCAGTGAAGGTTGATGGACGATCATATTGGGACTATGCCAGGAAAATATAATCTCTACAGTGAAATCCAAAAAACAATGGAAAAGGAAGACGACATTATAAGCAATGTATTTAGATGTCTGTGATGCTGTTGCAAGACATTTAAAAATCGCCACTTTAGTTAAATTGGTCTGTTCACACTGCACAACTGCTGTATCTCATGATCATTGAACTTTTTAAAGTTATAACTTTATTATAAAAGTCGTCTTCCTATTCTTCGTTTTCTGGTTATAATTGCAGTCAAAAGAGTGGGCGGAAAAAAGCACACATCTAATGAGGAAATGGCCAGCGCGCGGTCAGGAATAAAAAACTCTGATTTTTTAATCCCTAAATCTTTTCACCCAAATGTCGTAGTCAATAGATTTTTCAAAGAATTATGTTAGATCAAATAATCCAAGTTTGAAATATCAAAGGTTTACACAATCTGGGTGAAGAGATATAGGATTTAGATCAGTTCCTATGTATATTTTCATGTTAAATAAACCTTCCCCTGATTAAGAAGTAGAGCGAAGGAAATATTCTTTGTTCAGCAATATTGTAAAATTATCTAAACCTTCGAAAAAATGCTAAAATAAGCATTCTAGGTTTTGCTCTTGACAGAGCTCCTAAGGCTAAAACATTTTAATGCTTAACCTTTTGCACAAAGAGAGAATTGCAGGACGGTAAATACGGGAAATTCATTTCTGGATTTAAACTCTCAGAACGGGAACTCCAGTATTGAATTATTTAAATTAATAAAATTAATTGAAATAAAGTATTGAATTTGTGTGATTGTTAAATGCGAAAATCTTAAAAAATACCGAATTGTGAAAAAATGTCTGATTTGATGTTTTACCTGTAATTTTTTGAAAATAAGAAAATGTAAAAATTATTTATTTTCTCAAATCATTTAGAAATATGGAGCCTCCTGATATTCATAAATTTATCTTTTCAAATATGACATAAAAAGCATCTTTCCAATAATGTTTTGTTAAATTTTGTTACCAATTTATCTCTTTTGCATTGAATATAATATTTTTATTGCTAAATTAATGATAAGGCAAAATAAACAAGTTTACAGTTGCAGGGAATCATAATTAAAAGGAAACAGACAATATAAATTCGATTCAATTTCGTCTGTAAAGTCTCAAAGGGTCAAGACCCCCCCCCCCCCGGAGGGCGGCGCTAAGTATTATTATTATTGTCATTATCAGTATCATTTTTATTATTACTATTAATATTATTATTATTATCATCAATATTTTGCAGTGTGTACAGCTTGCTTCTTGAAAGAGAACTGAAGGTGTGTTGGTTGTTTAACGTATATCCTTTAGGATAGAGTCCTTAACTCAATATACTCTGATTCTCTCTCTCCCTCTCTATCTCAGCGCTTTCTCTCACATTTTCAAGATTTTGCCTCAAAATTATTTTTAATCGGTTTTGTTGGTTAGGTAATTTTGCCAATTACATCTTATGACCTAACGCTACAAAAAAGTAAAAGTTAGTTATTGATGTAAAATCAAAGACAATGCGATGTGTTACTTAAAAATCGAACCAGTTTCGAAAATATTATCACTATATAAGATAAGAAATAATATCACCAAAATTATTTCGAAATTCTAACATAATATTCGTAATCTTAAAATGATTTCCCTTATTCGATACTAAAAACAAAATGTTTTTTTTCCATAAGGTTCGAAACAAAATCTCGAATGACTGTAGATTTTGCTCTTCTAAATATTTTTGATATTCAGCTTATTCTATTATTCATATTGTACAGTCATGCAACGATTGATCCAGTCTCATCATCGTCGTCTCATCGTTATGAACAGGGAGAACCAAAAACTCTGGAATATGAAGTCAACTTTAAAACTTAAATATAGCTTTAAAAAGTCCAATGAACCTAAGGCACAACAATTGTCCAATGTAAAGAGACTCATTTCACTTAAAAAGTGATTTAATAACTTACAAGTTAAACTATTTGCCTTGTAACACCATCAAATAACTTCAGTATTGATTTAGTGTCTTCTTTCTATCCTACAGTTTTCTGGTTGTCCCTGGAGTTTATCTTCTTTCTATCCTACAGTTTTCTGGTTATCCCTGGAGTTTATCTTCTTTCTATCCTACAGTTTTCTGGTTATCCCTGGAGTTTATCTTCTTTCTATCCTACAGTTCTCTGGTTATCCCTGGAGTTTATCTTCTTTCTATCCCGTTTTTAGAGATTTATACTTTTTACACTTAAAAATGACATGTTAAAGTTACAAAAAAAAGTATGTTGGAGTTGGTGAGGTAAAACTAAAGGCCAAAGCGTAAGAACACACTTTAATGAAAACCAGACGAGTGTATTTGATCGAGGTTGCGTGAATATTATATTGTTAAGAGGTTGCGTGGTTTTGAATTAAACTTCAAGGTTTCGTGATTATTTTGCTCCTCATATAAAAATAAATCCAAGCCCCAAGGGCGTATATAGGGGGAGGCAAGGGGGGTAGTGCCTCCCCCAAGACATGTGAAGGGGGGGGGGGGCGTAACCCCCCCCATAACGTGCAAATCATAAACTGAAGTGTGAAGAACATTTTTTTTCTAAAACGATCCGATCAATTTTTTTGAAAAAGCGATCGTATCGTTGTTTTCTTTTTCGATTTTTTTTAAAATCTTAAAACGAGTGGTTCGTTTGTTGTGACCCATCGTTTCTAAAAACAATTGTATCGTTTTTCAAATCCAAGACCGAGTTGAACAAAACTGCACCATACATTTTTTAACATTGCTAATATTTTATATTAAAACAAGAAATTTTAACTTCAAACTTGCAATATGTTGTGAGTATTAGTTTTGATGACACTTGAATTCAGGGGCGGACTAAACCATTATCTCTGGGGGGCCTAATTTCGCGCAAAAAAAATTATTGGGACCCCACTTCCCCCCCACCCTAAAAAATAAACAAAAAGCAGTAAATTTCTATTTCTTATTTGTTCAAAAACTAAAAGTTTACAAACACCAGTTCTTCCACTTTCTCTCTGTAAACTCTAGTTCTCCCACTTTTTATCTGTACTAAACTCTAGTTCTCCCACTTTCTATCTGTAAACTCTAGTGCTCCTACTTTCTATCTGTAAACTTTAGTTTTCTCCTACTTTTTGTCTTTAAACTCTAGTCTAGTACTCTTCCGTTTTACCTGTAAACTCTAGTTCTCTCACNCCCCCGGTGGACGGCGCTAAGTCATTTGTACTACAATCATTTGTCCTACAATAATTTGTCCTAAAACTAATTTGGCCTATACAAATAGATTATCAAGTACAATAGGTGGCAACACAGAAATGAATCAATTATACAAAACGTCACAAGTGTCAAATAGAATCTATTTGGGCCTATATATCATTTGTACTACTGATCATTTGTCCTATAGAGTGGGGGAAATAGCATTTAGGGTTTCCAGAGAACGAAAACTTTCGCAAAAAATTCGAGAATTTTCGTCCGTATGTCGTAAACTTTTTAACGTATTTAGCATCTTTCGCAAAATGAATTAGGCTAAAAAAGGTGAAAACTATGGTGAAAACAATTCCGCGAAAACCATACCTGGAATTAACAATTAATTGCGCAAAAAAACGTGTGGAATTCTCTGCTATGTTTTATTAATTTTTTTTCGCAAAATTTTCGCATTTTATTCTCAGAAATTTTTGCATTTATTTTTATAAGAAATTTTCTCTTTTTTTTCGCGAAATTTCGCATTTCTTATTCGGTGAATATTTCGCATTTTTTCGCGAAACAGATTTAAAAGAAATTCCGCGAAGAAAAAAGCAAAAATTGTCTTAACCTTACCTAACCCAAAATAAGGTGAGATGACAGCATATTATTTAACATATTAAAAGTTAAATTCAACTTTTTAAACATTTATTTAGAACAAATGATGTTTTCAATTGTAGGACAAATCATTTTATAATGTAGAGTAGGACAATTGATGTGTAGAGTTCAATTGAAATAAAGGAGAAAACTGAAGTGCAGCTGTAGGACAAATGATGTGTAGGACAAATTATTTGTAGGAAAAATGATTGTAGGAAAAATGATTGAAGGACAAATGATTGTAGGACAATTGATTGTAGGACAAATAATTGTAAGACAAATGGTTGTAGGGCAAATGATTGTAGGAAAAATTATTTGTAGGAAAAATGATTGTAGGAAAAATGATTGTAGGACAATTGATTGTATGAAAAATGATTGTAGGACAAATGGTTGTAGGACAAATGATTGTAAGAAAAATGGTTGTAGGACAATTGATTGTAGGAAAAATGGTTGTAGGACAAATGATTGTAAGACAAATGGTTGTAGGACAAATGATTGTAGGACAAATTGTTGTAGGACAAATGGTTGTAGGACAAATGATGTGTAGGACAAATTATTTGTAGGAAAAATGATTGTAGGAAAAATGATTGTAGGACAATTGATTGTATGAAAAATGATTGTAGGACAATTGATTGTAGGACAAATGGTTGTAGGACAAATGATTGTAAGACAAATGGTTGTAGGACAAATGATTGTAGGACAAATGGTTGTAGGACAAATGATTGTAAGACAAATGGTTGTAGGACAAATGATTGTAGGACAAATTGTTGTAGGACAAATGGTTGCAGGACAAATGATTGTAGGACAAATGACATACCGCCCCGGCGGACGTCGCATTTTATTGACAATTATTTTATAAAAAGGCACACTTTAAGTGAAAAACTACCTGTGTAGTTTCTATTGTCATCGAATTGATTTGACCATCTGATATTTGACACGCACTGTCTCGGCGGCCAGCCCTCTTGGACGTTAAGTCTAAGTCTGCAGTTGACGATTGACGCCGGAAGTTTCTACAGCGAGCCAAGTCTTCATTAGTGGACTCACGCCGGAATCCTCTACAACAATGAATTCAAATATTAAAGGGATGTTGAACCGACTCTTCATAAATGAATAAATAAAGTGATAACCAGAAAACTGTAGAATAGGAAGACGACATTAGAGCAATAATAAATAGTATTTGATGCGGTAACAGAGTAAATAGTTTTTCAAGTAAATTTTAAAATAGTTGTTAAGTCATGTGGGCCTTTTTACACCGCACAATTGTGTTGTCTCATGTTCATTGCACTATTTATGAGTCATTGATTGAGTCTAAAAGTCGTCTCCCTATTCCAGAGTTTTCTGGTTATCACTGTAGTTTATTTGGCACATATATACATATTTAACGGTTCTGTCAATATTCCAGAAAGCTGCGACCTTCGATAACAATTTGACCCATTAAACACAATTTTTTAGACTTTCTTCCGAAATACTTTTTTGTCGGCATATGCATTTTGAAGGAAAAAGTACAGCATTAACAAATCCGTAACGTAAAAGATTGTTGAATTATAGACTAAAACACATTTGATTTCCGGGGTTCAAATTAAAAACACATTGATGAATTCTAGGGTTATACAGTGCCGGGAAACCCGGAGAGCTTAATATCTGGCTGTTTGGTCCAGGTCACTGAAAACTTTAGATTCATGCGGCGTATGATACGTTAAAAATAAAAAATAAAAATGAAAGAGAGGTGAATATGTGTGTGTCTGGGTTCTGTGTAGGTCCGATCATGTTGAGCTTTAGTAAACCTGGAGAGTTGTAAATAAAACAATAAATTATAAGAACGTTTTTTATTTAGACCCTATAGAACAAGAAAACTAAACAGTGCAAAAATAACAGTTATACTATCTATAGTTTACATCAAGTTTATGTAAAGGAGATGACTGCCGAAGCTATCAATTATTTAAATTCTATTGCTTTTAGTAATAGTACTTATTCGAATAAAGACACTTGTCTATGTTAATTCTATTAATTGTCTTATGTCCAATTTTTTTTTAACATTTAACGGAATTAGATTTCTAAGACGACATTTAAAAAATCTGCGAATGATTTCATAGAAAGGGAAGAAGTGGACGCAATGAAAGAGATGATTTTAGTTTTTAGTTTTGATTGTAAGTTACAACTTTATCTTGATATGTTAACACATATTTAGCCGAAATCTTAAATTGTTTCTGATTTTGTTAATAAGAAAATTAAAAAAGAAGATTTTATGTAATTATTTGAGTAAAATTTATTTTTTAGTATTCAGCAATTATTCATTCTGAGAGGCACATTACTTATTAATCCTTATTTCACTCTGCAATTATGACTTTTCTTAAACAACACTCCCTTGCTGCAGTCACTCCCAATAATCCCTTAAAGGGACTGTACACGTAATTTCAAGTGACCCTCAATGCAAAGAAGACAATTCACGATTCACAGCGGTACCCTTTAAACCTTTGTGTGTTCATCAAGTACAGATATCTTATTGTGCAAACTTATCGAAAACCGCGCTTGTATTCTTACAAATTTCGGTGTGCCAGCTGTGTTGTGTGCATAGCGTGAACTCGAAACGCTGATACGTTACTATAGTGTCCGCTGAAAATATCGTCTTTTTAACGTTAAAAGTGGTTTTCAAACATTCGACAGTAAATATTTATTTTCTCCCACTTCTAGAAAGAAAATATTTTTATTTCTTAAATATATAAGAGCTTGCATTGTTAAAAAAATAAAAGTGTTTAAGTAGATTAATACAGGTATGTCTGACATCCCACAATCAAAGGTTCAAAGGGTACTGTTGTGAATCGGTGAAGCCCCCCTTTAACTGGAAGGTCAGTTAATATTACGCGTACAGTTCATGAAAAAGTGCCCAATTAAAGCATTCAAAACTGTAATTTTATAGACTGTAGTAGGGTAGATACTAACCTTGCGATAAATATTTCATCAGTAGTAGACTGCCGACGTAGGCCTATTGATGGATGACCTTCGTTAAACTTTGGTGAAGGTTCCCTTGAGCTTCCTCCTGCAATATATTCAAATATATTTCCTGGGGGGATAATTTTAGGTTTTAACTGTTGCTCTAAAAGTCGGATTTAGTGGATTCTTCTTTTCGAATTGGCGCATTTAAAAAAAATCCAACTATTTTCCAGAATTTTTTTCATTTTTTATGTTCCAAAAACTATCCCTGGGTCATGTGAGGTCACACATAAAATTTGGACCCTATCGGTTCAGCCGTTTTGACGTTTATTGGATACAAACAAACAGACAAGCAAAGTTTATATCTAGATGTGGGAGTAAATATCTACCTGAACCAGAAGAACGTGGGAGTATATATTTTTATACCTATATCAGGGGAGTGGTAGTATATATATTATATATACCTGAATCAGGGGAGTGGGAGTATATATATTAAATATACCTGAATCAGGGGAGTGAGAATTATGGGATTTGGATTTTCTTCTTCCAAGAAGTTTATCCTAAATAGTTATAATCCATCATATTATCTTTTCAAATAATTATTAATCACAGTTCTAAAAAAAACTGAGAGAATATCCTTTAGTCTTTAATCTTTGTAATAAATTTAGGCATTGATTCGTTTATAGTTATTGAAATTTAGTCCTAGATCTGCAATATATATTATAACAGACCTTTTTGTCCCACAAAATATGAAAGTTTAGAGACAACTTGAAGGTCGTCTTTAATCTTTGTAATAAATTTAGGAATTGCTTCGTCGAAATAATATTTTAGAAGTAAATTCTTCTTGAATTATTTCTTACAAAATGAGGTCTGCCTTTCTAGATCAAATCAAAATGAATTAAATCAGACTTTTAGGGACATCCTATATTATTATTATCAAAACTAGAATTATTCAGTCAAAATTAGGTTATTAGAAGTTTTCAAAGATCAAAGACGACCATTGAATCGTCTTGCTACAGTCATGTTTTGTGGGACACCCTGTATCTAAACAATCCCTCTAATAATATCATATTGTCATTTTACGTGGGACACCCTGTATGTGAACAACCCCTCAAATAAGATTATATTATAATGGATTTCCTCATTGTTTGCTCCGCTTGATTTCCGTCTGCCTAGGCGCTTCCATCTTGTTTTTGGGCTAGAGTCACGTGATTCCTGGAATATATACCAGAGATAAGAGAATATTCTGTAGGCGTTTTAACTAAACATTTTAAGGAGATAGCAACATCTGCTAAGACAATGGCCGATTCAATCAACATGTTTGGTAAATTCCAGGTTAATTGTTAATTTTCTTTTAATATTAACAAATATAACTGCAGTATATTTTTTATCAGTACAAAGGAAATTAAAATAATGACTTTAACCTATTTCTTTGCTGTGAAAATCCTAACTGTGAACTGGCTATAAAAATACATCAAAAATCCCTTAACGCAATAATCCCTCCATACCCCCCTTCCCTCCACCCGGTTCCCCCCCCCTTTCCGGGTGTATGAACCAAGCAAAGAAACCACGCAACCACTGTTCCACCACCTTAGAATTGGTTGATTTAATAAACTACCAAACCATTACTTTCCTTTTCTTTATTTTTCTTTCTTTATGTTTTCTATTGAATGGGGACAATATATTTATTATTATCTAAACAAAAAAAATAATATCTTTAAGACTATACCTCATTCTTAAAGGGAGTGTTCGCGAACACTCCCTTTAATCTGACAAAGCTGTTAAAGAAACAGTTTTGATGCCATCCTAACAATTGATGGTCATTTTGAAATCACATTTGCAGTCCCTTCCAGACCAAATTATCTACTTTATCACTACTGGCTCCAATAAAACCAAGTTATCTGCATTATCACTACTGGCTCCAATAAAACAAAGTTATCTGCATTATCACTACTGGCTCCAATAAAACCAAGTTATCTACATTATCACAGCTGGCTCCAATAAAACCAAGATATCTACCTTATCACTGCTGGCTCCAATAAAACCAAGATATCTACCTTATCACTGCTAGCTCTAATAAACCCAAGATATCTGCCTTATCACAGCTGGCTCCAATAAAACCAGGAAATCTACCTTATCACTGCTGGCTCCAATAAAACCAAGTAATCTACCTGATCACTGCTGGCAACAATAAAACCAAGATATCTACCTTATCACTGCTGGCTCCAATAAAACCAAGTAATCTACCTTATCACTGCTGGCAACAATAAAACCAAGATATCTACCTTATCACTGCTGGCTCCAATAAAATCAAGTTATCTACCTTATCACTGCTGGCTCCAATAAAACCAAGTAATCTACCTTATCACTGCTGGCTCCAATAAAACCAAGTAATCTACCATATCACTGTTGGCTCCAATAAAACCAGGAAATCTACCATATCACTGCTGGCTCCAATAAAACCAGGAAATCTACCATATCACTGTTGGCTCCAATAAAACCAAGTAATCTACCTTATCACTGCTGGCTCCAATAAAACCAAGTAATCTACCTTATCACTGCTGGCTCCAATAAAACCAAGTAATCTACCTTATCACTGCTGGCTCCAATAAAATCAAGTTATCTACCTTATCACTGCTGGCTCCAATAAAACCAAGAAATCATCTACCTTATCACTGCTGGCTCCAATAAAACCAAGTAATCTACCTTATCACTGCTGGCTCCTTTAGAATCTCTCCTTCCCTTCCTTGTACTATCCTCTGCAGCAGAGTCTGGGGATAATGAATCCCGCCTTCCACTTCTAGGACAGTCTTCTGTACCAGGACTAAATAAAAACAAATTCGAACGATATTTGGGAAAAATTAACATAAATTTCTCTGTCATCTTTACATGGAGGGTCACTTGAATTTACGCTAATAGTCCCTTTAAATAATAAAGGGACCGGTTAAACTCCCTCCTACCTGAGAAAGGGTCTGCTCCCTCTTCTTACTGGAGATATTTTCTGATTAACACATTCATCATAGGCTGTCGACTGTCTTCTAAACCTTTTCCTTCCTGCAGTGGGAGACAGCTGGGGGGATATAGCATCAACACAAACAAGATTAGCGCTGTCTTCAGATCCTAATATAACAGATGTAACAGATGGAAGTAGCAACGTGCAAAGATGTAATAAATGTAACCGATGTAACATGAACAATGGAAGTAACAGATACCACATATTAGATTATTGTAATTTAAGTAATCCCAAGTAACAATTTTGCGGAAAATCCGCGGAAATTCCCAGGAATATTTCCTGGGAATCCGCGGAAATTCCCAGGAATCTTTCACAGGAAAATCCGGTGAAAATGTCGACAGCTTTTCCCAGGAATTTCTCGTTACCAATTCCGAGGAACCAGGTCCGAGGAATTTCTTGTAACCCATTCCGAGGAAATTCTCTTTACTCTATCCAAGGAATTTCTTGTAACCAATTCTAGGGAATTTCTTGTTACCAATTCTTCAGAAAAACCAGAGAAAATTTGTAGCGAAAAGGTCTTCAGAACCAATTCCTGGGAATTTCCCTGGAACTATTTTCAAGATTTTCTCAAGAGTTCCTCAGGAATATTTTGAAATATTCACTAACAAAAGTAGTGAATAACTTAACAACTATATTGCCCCTCCAACTTTTTGGAAGTATAACCATCGTTTTAAGTCAGAATGTTATAGTCATTTTTGATCTTACTGAAGTTGTCATGTATTTAGTTTATTCAGACAAGTGAATTTTCAAGAAAAAATAAAAATAAATGTTTTAAAATTTTTAAATATTTTTTTAAAAGATGGTTCTGAAGTAAATTATCATTTTTTATCAATAAGGATATAAAGAAAAAAAGATTTAGTTTGAGCAGTGCATAAAAGAAGATAACCTCAGAGACACCTATTGGTGAAAAAGGGAACTTGAAAATTCTGTGAGGAAGTCCTGAGAATTTCTCAGAAATTTCCGGAGAAATATTCCTGAGAAATTCTTAGGAATTTCTTGAGAAAAATTCCTGAGAAATTCTCAGGAATTTCTCGAAACTTATTCTCGTATCTAATTCCCGAAAAATCCGTAAACTTGGTGACCAAGTTTTAAGAATTTCTCAGGAATTTCCGGAGAAGCAATGCGGAGAATTTCTCAGGAATTTCTTGGTGTGAAATTCCGGAAAAATTCCCAGGAATTTCTCGAAACCAATTCTTTTTTTAAATTCCACTTAAAATCCCTAAATATGGTGACCAAGTCCTAAGATTTCTCAGGAATTTCCGAAGAAGTAGTCAGGAGAATTTCTCAGGAATTTCTTGGGGTGAAATTCTGGAGAAATTCCCAGGAATTTCTCGAAACTAATTCTCTTAATAAATTCCCCGAAAAATCCCTAAATATGGTGACCAAGTCCTAAGAATTTCTCAGGAATTTCCAGAGAATATTTCTGGAGATATTCTGAGGAATTTCGTGGGGAAAAATTCCGGAGAATTTCTCAGGAATTTCTCGAAACTGAGTCTCAAAACTGTGATCCCACAAAAATCTCTCATCTTGGGAACCAATTCTAGGGAATTTCTCGAGAATTTTTAAGGAATCAGTTACAGGAAATGATTCTCGAGAAATTCCTCGGAAATTCCTTAAAGAAAGTCACCAGTGTTGGAGAATCTGGGGAAATTCCTCACTTTTGTTACTTGGGACATATGATATGTGATATATGTGTAAAAGATATAACATATATATCTAATTATTTTTTAAAATAAATGAGCTCAAAGAAACTGATTAATCTCCACCAACTATAATTTTCTAATCATTAATATCTTTGTAATTTCAACATTATGTCATTGACCTTAGATATTTCAAACCGTGATTTTTGTTAAACTAAATCGCCGAGTTTAAAATATCAAATTTGTACACCATCAGGTTGCGATGATATAGGGTTGAGAATACTAGAGTTTGGTGCAAGTGAAGCGATCCAACGGTTGCAAAAGCTCTCGAGCAAAAATGAATAAGAATATTGCCTTTTTAAAATCCAAAGCTAAAATATACATGTCTAGGGCTACAGAAAAGTTAGTTGAGTGGTTAAAATCAAAGGCAATTGCAGTGTGAAACTTCAAATCGATCCATTCTGAAAATTGATGCAAAGCATCCCACCAGTCTGGATCTATGAGAACCAGAAAGCGTCCCACCAGTCTGGATCTATGAGAACCAGAAAGCGTCCCACCAGTCTGGATCTATGAGAACCAGAAAGTGTTTGTTTTTCGAAATGAAGTGAAAATGTAATTAAAAATATTCAAGACTTGAATAAAAAGGAAAAAATTTCCAACACGTGACCAACATAAAAGAAAGAACAATAACAAGTTGTAAAAAAGTACAACAAATGTGATCATCTACGTATTTACACCTAGGTCAACATTTAAGAAGGTACCAAAAGAAGAAGAAAAAACTCCAACAAAAGGCAACAATGCATTGCTATAAAGTATTAATTCAATATATGATGGTTGAAAATGTGTTTTGGGTATTCAACATTTTTTTACAAAATATGAAAAACAATCCGTCACCTTGCTTTGTATGAAGAATTGTTTAGTATTTTGTAAACTGATATAAGATATAAAAAATTGGAAAAAATTTGCATTTACTAATCAATTTATCAGAAATAAAAAGTAGGAATTATGATCTGTAAAGGTGATATGATAAAGATGACTTGTATTAATTTTTTTTACCAGTTATCAGTCACCACTATAATTAAAAAGATGACTTGTATTAATTTTACAAGTTATCAGTCACCACTTATAATTAATCTACAATACCTCTAACCTAGTTACTTCATTTAACAATATATAACAGAAAAAGCATCCATTTAAATACAGCTTGAGCTTGAAATTTAGAAATTATAGTTCCACAGATGAGATTAACTAAGTACGGTTTGAATATCTTTAAGGTCATTAAGAATTAAAATAAAAGTCAGCTGTTTTCAAGGATTAAGCGCTTTACAATAAAAGTTTCCATGTTGTAGGTTTTATCGAGATCATGCGCATGTAAATTAAAGTCTATTCTTTGAATTTTTTTGCAGTTTACACTCGCGCGAAGACGTAAACCTGGTATTTTCTAAATTTGCTCAAACCGACAACATTGTTGTGCTGTTCCTGTTACAGGAGATAAGTTATCAAATAAACAAAAATTGTAGAAATCTTAACTTACATTTCCGGTAATATTGAAAACACAAAAAAATACCAAAACTAAGAATATTTTGTGATAATTATTAATTAACTCAGGAATTATACTTCTATGATTAGGTTTGCGAATAAATACCGCAATTTATTTCAAGGATCAAAGACGACATTAAAGTTGTCTTGTTATTGTCAATTTTTGTGGGACACCGTGTACAAAAGTTGCTACACCTAAAATAATTTTTTACCTTTTGATTCGACCATATCGATCTGGCCGCCGCTATCCTTGGAGTTGGATGAGACCAAGGACCGGGAATCTGCAATACCTAAAAAAAGCTCGAGACATTAAACAAAATTATGATGGTTACATGGGGTATTCTAGGGGAGGGGGTATCATTACTCATTGGGATGCAAAACCCCCGTGGAAACCATAGAATATTCACTGATCCATGGGGGGGGGGGGGCTTAGTTTCTTAGCTCCACCCCCTGAATACGCCTCTGTCCACGAACGCAGAATTTTTTTTTTGAAAATTCGTCAATTCATTCATTTAGAACAATTCGCAAATACAATTAGAACAATCCGCAAATACATTTATCAAATCAAATCAAATCAAATCATTTATTGGGCCACAAGTTAACAATATTCATATTAATAAAAATGACTATACAATTACATATATATTTTGTGGCCGGGGAGCTACAAGATAGCTCAGGCTGTTTTCAAACGAGCTCCCCTGGTTCAGAAAAATAATGATTAGATTCAAACGTTGTGCAATGTGCCTTTATGGAGCACAAAAATGGCGAAGAGTAGCGGCGGTGGCGGTTGCAGAACAGGAGGCGGAAACATGGCGTCAATATTTACAGTCACAAATACAAAAAGTTTTAGGCTCAATAATGTTGAAGATCGTTCTTGATCAAGAAATATTATTACTACATGTTATTCTAATCAAGATAAGAGATCAAGAATAAGCTGAATATTTCTTCAGACAAGGATACATATATATGATATTCATTATATGTATCAAGTATTAAAAAATATGAACAGATCATATTTAAGACCATGGAAACCCCAATTTAATCTAAGAAACTAGAGTTGAACATGTATAGCAAAATAGCCGATTGCATTCAAAGTTCGATAATCTATCCAGAAAATGTTGCTTAAGTTTATATTTAAATTCATTTTTACTAGCAATACAAGACAAAGCTGGGTCAAGTTCATTCCAACAGGAAGTGAAAGAATACAAGGGAAATCTATTTATAAATAAATTTTTACATCTAGGAACAAAAAATTGATCTCGATTTCTTAAGGGGTATTGGTGCATCTCAATATCTGAATTCCTGGGGAACACTGGATCCATATAGAAAGAAGGAGGGGCGTAACTAAAAGCTATGGAGTGCATGAGCGAAAGTTTTTGATGAAGAATAAGGTCCGTGAAGGGGAGTATCTTTAATTCATAAAATAAAGGTTCAGAATGAGCATTATATCTAGCTTTAGCAATTGTTCTAATACATTTTCTTTGTATAAGACTCAGAGAATTAATATTTTTTAGACTGGTACAGCTTTTGACTGGTAGAAAATATAAAAAGTGAGGATGGACAAGAGCATAATAAATACTTTTTAGAGCTGAGGTCAAGAGAACATTTTTAACCTTTTTCAAGGAAAACATAGACTTTGAGATTTTATTTAGAGCAGTTTTAATGTGATAATCAAAAGTGAGGTTTTCATCAACGTAAACACCAAGAATTTTATATGCAGGACAGGGGGCAGAATTATTATGAATTCTCTCGATGGGATAAATTAATTCAGGGTCGACGGGAACATCAAAATCATTATTATTGAAAAAAAATCTAGCTTCTGAAATAATTTTACCCTTTGGATGAAATATCATTATCTTGGTTTTAGATGCATTTATCGCAAGTTTGTTTGACCGAAGCCAAATACCAATTTTTTGTAATTCAGTATTTACAAATGAAACCAACTCATCAAAGTTTTTCCCCTTGCATAGACCTGAAGTATCATCAGCAAAGTGTATATTTAACAATTTGTTTGAGGAATGCATATCATTTATAAAAATAAGAAAAAGTAGGGGTCCCAGGATCGAGCCTTGCAATACTGAAATATTAATCATGGAAAAAAAATCAGATAGAGTACCATTTACCATAACAAACTGTTTTCTGTTACTTAAGTAACTCTTAAACCATTTAAGGGCTAATCCTCCGAACACCAATTTTTTCCAGTTTCATTAATAATATATCGTGATCAACAAGATCGAAAGCCTTCTGTAAATCTAGAAAAACTGCAAAAACAAATTCATCATTATTGAACGCTTTAGAAATATAATCAACAATATGAATTAAAGGATGAATAGTTGATTTCCCAGACTGGAAACCGAACTGGAAAGCATATAAGATATCATTAGATTCGACAAAGGATAAGAGTTGTTTAGCAACTATACGTTCAAATATCTTAGAAATAGTAGGTAAACAAGAGATAGGCCTGTAGTTGGATAAATTTTAGAACAATCCGCAAATTCAGAGAAGAATTAAAAATCCTGGCTTTCAGAGAAACACTAAGAAGCTAAAAAAAATGGCATTAAGCTCCCTCAAATCCTAGTATCATAAACACTGAATCAAAAATACATTTCCATTGTTATAAAAGCAATTTTATTATAATCGAAAAGCCTCGTATTATTTAATATTATTCTTTTTTATTTCGCTCAAATTATCATGTTATGGAAGAAGAGATCAACAGTTTTATACCAACTGTCATGTTTCGTGGGACACCCTGTATTTGTTTTTGTAGCACAGTGTCCCCCTCATTTTATGAGGTAAATTAATTAATTTCTCTTAAAGAAAACTTTATCCCAGGATTCACTCAAGTATAAAATGAAATACAATTTATTATAATCGAAGTTTCCAGTAAGGGAACTGAGTTTATAATCCCATTATACTTGCAACCCCATTTCGTATACCTTTGATAGAATTCTATTGTATTTAACATTTTTAGATATCAATTAAAGGTAAATAACATCAGGTTGCAAAGATATAAAAATTAGAAAATTTGAGTTTGTGGCAAAGACTTCATTCCTTTGAAAAACAAAGTATGTTTACCAATTTTTAAATAGATAGATAGTTTATAAATTTTTTAATTATTTTGTATTTTCATAAATCATTTCGAGGCTATACTTGAACATTTTACTGTCTCTCTTTCTAAAATTTTATACAATCTCATCCTGTCTTCTTAGCGAAGTCTCTCCAACCATTTTATAAGAATTTAATATTTTCATCTACAAATATACAAATACCAAGAATATAATAATTTGATATTTTCAAGTAAACTAAACATGATATAAGTCAATGCTTGTAATTTAAAAATAAGATACAGGGTGTCTATAATGTCTCCGCAAGATGAACAGTGAAGACGGACAAGTTTACTCTGTTTGTATACTGTAATTTTTTTGTTTTATTAAGTACAAGGCCGTATGCAGTCAAAACATAAACAAACAAAATGTGAACACAGCAGACGAAACTCTTACAAATTACAGCTTTCTCAGTAGGTATCACCATACTAAATCTAAGAATTATTTAAAAAGACGATTTCGAATTCGTCACTGAATTCCCATGTTTTTTGGGACACCCTGTATTTAAAAAATCTACTTCTAAACATGATATAAGTCAATGCTTTCAATCTAAGAATAAAATATGTAAAAAATCTACTTCTAACATTTATATAAGTCAATGCTTGCAATCTAAGAATAAGATATTTTAAAAATCTACTTATAAACATGATATAAGTCAATGCTTGCAATCTAAGAATAAAATATTTTAAAGATCTACTTCTAAACATAGTATAAGTAAATGCTTTCAATCTAAAAATAGCCACTTCTAAACATGATAGCCTTAAATCGTAAAAGGATGAGTTTGGACAAATCTGCAAGACGAAAGAAAATTGACTAATTGTTCATTTTATGTAAATTTCAACCTCTCAGTTCTCACGCGAAAACAAAGGAATTGAGTCTTTGCCACAAACTCTAATTTTCTAATCACTATATCTTTGGAACCAAATGTTGCAGACCTTAGATATTTCAAACTATGCATTCTGTTAGATCAAATAATCTGAGTTTGAAATATCAAAGGTTTAAAATATCGAGTTCTAAAGATATTGTGGTTTAAATATTTGATTTTGTTCCATAGACTCAATTCCTTTGAAAATAAAAGCTGACTGATTGATGAGCTATTTATAGCAATGTCACCATGAGCTAAGCAAACATGATTTATTACGTAAACCGCAGTTATTTAAACCATCAAATAGATTTTTTAAAAACTTTTAGAAAAATTAACTTACTACGATTATACGGAAAAAAGAATATTTTTAAAGAAAGCCAACAATGCGGTGCAAAATTGAGAAAGAAACTGTTTTTGTCACAAACTCTGATTTTCTAATCCCATATCTTTGCAACCCAATGTCGTAGATCTTTGATATTTCATATACTAAAAATTTAGTTAGATCAAATAAAGATCTAAACGTCAAAGGTTTACACTATCATGTTGCAAAGATATAGGGATTGGAGAATTTGAGTTTGTGGCTAGAACTCAGTTCCTTGATAAACATAATTAAGTTAAATATCTTTATTGCGCTGTTGGTAAAATAGCCTTGTTTCTTCTTTTTCTTCAAACTCCGGGGTTTACTTTTTTATTTTAACATTAATTATTTCATTCAAATTCTTATTTCTCCGAACTGACTGAATAGATTAAAAGAAAATTAAAAATTTCTTTCAAAAGATTTTTGATTTTGGAGAGAACTCAAGTGAAGCGAAAAATATTTAAGAAGAGCAGGACTCGGTAAATTCTTTAAATCTTCGCCATCAGCTAAAAGTCTTAAAAAATCGTATGATTTTTTAAATCTTTAAAATCAAGTCTCAAATTTTTGAAATCCCGAAAAAGACTGTAGCTTCCAAGGAACTAATGCAAGGAAAGTTAATTGGGCTCGCGTATACTCTGCGTTTGTACATACAGGGTGTCCCACGAAACATGACAGTTGGTGAATAGTTTTCAATGTCTCTTCCATGTTACTATATTATTTAATAAAGACTTTTTGCAGTTTATTTCGTCAAGGAAATCTATTACTCAAATATATATTAGTTTGAAATCTGCAATTTTACTAAATATTACTGCCATATGTATTTCTTACCATCATCATTGAATCAAAAAACTTAACAATATATGGAAGAAGACATTTTAAACTATTCACCAACTGTCATGTTTTGTGGGACACCTGTATTTAAACAAGTTCTTTCTGGGCGGAATTTGTAAACAAGAATGATGCATCAGTCTATCCGAGGAGGTTAAAAGCATTTAATTTTGATAATTTTGAAAATTCACATGAGAGGTTCTTATGACCAGAAAATTTCATAGATTATTTTTGTGAAAATGGATTCCATGTCTGGCTGAGACATCCGTCTTGTGTTTAAATTTCCGTCCGGCACTCTTTAAACCATTGATCAAAATGAATGATATGTCCATGTGGTTAAAATCATAAATTGAATATTTTTAACTGTGGTTTCTCTGTTAAAATGATTTGCGGATTTCTCCTGCAGAAAAAGGCATTGGAGGAAGTTGTCAGAATTCAAGACTTTTTAAAGCTACTTGATATTACTATACACCAGTTCCTCTCATATTCTCCAATGTCAAATCTAAAAAGTCCCTGAAATTTTCAAGGACACTGTTTGAGTAATTTTAAATGACACTAAATTAACCCTTTGACTGTTCATCGAGGACAGGGATCTCGGTGTATATATCTCTTAAATGCTATGAAAAAAAACGAACAATCGAAGTGTACGCTATTGTACAGTGTAAATTCAACACGTATTATGTCATATTATTTCCTGTTAAATCTAGAATATTCTATGTCTAACCCGGTTGATACAATTCGAATGCGAGTATTTTGTTCTTTTACTTCTTAAAACAGGTTGCAAACATAGTATATTCACATTTACAAGCGTTTCGTTAGATAAATTAAGAAAGACTGTCATCCTTGATCAGACAATGGTGTAAGTTGTGGAGGGTACCTTTAATTGTGAATAGGAATGCTCCTCTCTAAATGGAAGGTCACTTAAAATTACGCTTACAGTCCCTTAGAAGGGAGTGACGGGCAATGTATGGTGGTTGAACTAAGTATGCAGTATTCTAAAAACGTACCAACCCAAATTTATGATTCTGAACGTCGGCTTTGGATCAAACTTAGTAAATATACGTCGTAGAAACGTTTTATGTGTCTCAAATGAATCCTAAAAATGTGTCCACAATACTTCAAATTCAGTTCAACCATGCATTGCCGGCCACTCCCTTTAAATGCTTGAAATCCTTGAAATCAACCTAAATGATTCTAAATTGATGACTGATGACTTAACATTACTTTATGCAAATCATTTTAAAACTAAAGCTTTAAACGGATTTTTCAAGCCGAGATCCCCCCCCCGTTTATATATTAATGTTGACAGCCATAAGGGAAAAATCTAGAGAAAAACATGTTGATCAATTGATCAAAGACGACTTTCGTTCCACTCGTCACTGTTTATGAGGTCTGTGTATACTGTACAGTAATTACCTGTTGGGGAGGCACTCTGTACATAGGAGAAGAATGTTGTACACTCCGGTGTAGTAGGAGATGTATGATAGGTTGTACACCCATCTATCCTTGTACCAGAACTTCTAAACAAATTTTCACGTACAGATCAAGAAACATAATATAAGAAGAACTCCCACGAGCTTGTTTGTTTAAAGTGTACTGCAGTTTCGGAGAGGAATGTTAACAAAAAACAGTACAGTTCAGGCAGATGTTTGATGATCTTTCTCCTTCCAGAAACTGCAGTACACATTCCTCTTATATGCCTTAATAAACATATTTTCACATACACTAAAAAAGAAAACATTTTATTTTGAGCTTTTTTTGGTCTGGATGTTTTTTCCTTTTTTTCATTTTTCAATTTCCCAAATTTAGTTTTTTTTTACATAAAACCTGAGACAAATATTAAGTCTTTGCTACAAACTCTAATCTTCTTATTCCTAGAAATAGGTAAAGCTATTTCTTCTCTCGTGATTAAGAAATTTGTAAAAATGTTTAGAAAAAATAATAGAATGCTCAATAAAAATACTCTAATTTCCATAATGTACCCAATGTAGCAAACCTTTAATATTTAAAACTGTGTATTATGATAGACCAAATACACTTAGATTCCTCTCCTCTGTTTTTAAACATTGAATTTAATGAATAAAAATAATATTGTTTAATGTCGAATGTCCTGTATCTACAGAGCGTCTAATATTATATTAGATTATACTATTATCATAATACTCAAAAAACCTGTTATTTTCTGCAAGAACACTTTTATATTAGCCTTAGACATTTTTTAAAAAATTATTCAATTTTCAATTAGTCCCTCAAATCTTAATTTAGAGGCGTAAACGATCTAATATGATGTGGGACACCCTCCGGTTTTTAACCAAAGAGAAACTATAAAATTACTTTTTTTATGATTTATCTAAAAGGTTTTACTGAATTAGGAATATCTGTAAATGATGATATTTTTAATGGAAAATTCTTGTTTATTCATCAACATTTCTTCGTTTAAGAGCTGAGAGAGAGAACGGAGAGAAGAGATATTGATATGAATCATATATATGCACTCAGAGAGGGGGGTTGGTTGGTTTGATTTGAAAAACTCTAGAACATTTTGGGACGTGTGCTTTTCCCTACATATTCGTGCACCTCCATTAACATTATTATTGATCTGTGGTAATTTTAGCCCCGATAAAAAACTTTTAAATCCCAAATTTGTGTCTTGATAATAAAGAAAGCTATTTCCATTTGTAGCTCAGATAAATGTTTAAAGGTACCGCTCTTTAAAGGGACAGACCGGCTTTGTAAGGTAGTTAAACTGAGTATGCAGTGTTGTGGTCAAATTCTTTAGGATTCATTTGAGACATATAAAACGTTTCCACTATGTAAAATTTGTTTTGACATTCAAAATCATGAATTTGGGTGGGTACGTTTTCAGAATCGTTTTTTCTTTAAATTATTAAATAACGACGAAGAAAAATATAGTAAAACTTCTGAATCCTAAAGAATTTGTCCACAACACTGAATACTCTGTTCAACTACATAGCCGGTCTGTCCCTTTAAATTACGTCCCTTTGCATTATATATTATTTATACATATATAATAATATATATATTTCTATATTATATATTATTTTTCTTTCCCTTATGCATCAAGAACATTTTAATTTTTCCCAATTTCTTGAAGAGGATTATATATGTTTATAAATATTTTCTTTTCCTAGAAACGTGATTATCGAGAAAAAAAACATGCTTCAAGTAAATTTCTATATTTTAGGATTACTTTAAATACCAACAACAAAAGTTTTGATTTTCCTGCCTAACTATACAAAAAATGTTTACTTTAACTGTCGCAACGCCTCGAGTTTTAGTTTGACCAACTATCTTAAACTTTTTTTTACCCTTGACATATGCACATATAAAATCTGCAATGTTATTGTTTCGATCTTTAGTTTAAAAGGAGTTATTGCTAAACCCCTGATATAAATATAATTTTGCTTGAGAGCGTAAAAGTGATTAAACATACCTGGAGATATTAGAATCCTGGTGATTGACTACATACCTGGAGATATTCGAATCCTGGTGATTGACTACATACTTGGAGAGATTAGAATCCTGGTGATTGACTACATACCTGGAGAGATTAGAATCCTGGTGATTGACTACATACCTGGAGAGATTAGAATCCTGGTAATTGACTACATACCTGGAGAAATTAGAATCCTGGTGATTGACTACATACTTGGAGATATTAGAATCCTGGTGATTGGCTACATACCTGGAGAGATTAGAATCCTGGTGATTGACCACATACCTGGAGAGATTAGAATCCTGGTGATTGACTACATACCTGGAGAAATTAGAATCCTGGTGATTGACTTCATACCTGGAGATATTAGAATCCTGGTGATTGACTACATACCTGGAGAGATTAGAATCCTGGTGATTGACCACATACCTGGAGAGATTAGAATCCTGGTGATTGACTACATACCTGGAGAAATTAGAATCCTGGTGATTGACTTCATACCTGGAGATATTAGAATCCTGGTGATTGACTACATACCTGGAGATATTAGAATCCTGGTGATTAACCATATACCTGGAGATATTATAATCCTGGTGATTAACCATTTACCTGGAGATATTAGAATCCTGGTGATTAAACATATACCTGGAGATATTAGAATCCTGGTGATTAAACATATACCTGGAGAGATTAGAATCCTGGTTATTAAACATTTACCTGGAGAGATTAGAATCCTGGTGATTAACTGCATACCTGGAGAGATTAGAATCCTGGTGATTAACTGCATACCTGTAGATATTAGAATCCTGGTGATTGACAACATACCTGGAGAGATTAGAATCCTGGTGATTGACTACATACCTGGAGAGATTAGAATCCTGGGGATCAACTGCATACCTGGAGATATTAGAATCCTGGTGATTAAACATATACCTGGAGATATAAGAATCCTGGTGATTAAACATTTACCTGGAGGGATTAGAATCCTGGTGATTAACTGCATACCTGGAGATATTAGAATCCTGGTGATTGAACATATACCTGGAGAGATTAGAATCCTGGTGATTAAACATATACCTGGAGATATTAGAATCCTGGTAATTGACTACATACCTGGATAGATAAGAATCCTGGTGATTAACCATTAACCTGGAGAGATTAGAATCCTGGTGATTAAACATATACCTGGAGAGATTAGAATCCTGGTGATTGACTGCATACCTGGAGAGATTAGAATCCTAGTGATTAAACATATACCTGGAGAGATTAGAATCCTGGTGATTTACTACATACCTGGAGAGATTAGAATCCTGGCGTTGAACCCTCTCCGCCCTATCGTCAGGTTCATCCTTGCTGTCTGCAGAAGAGAAGAAGCCTTTAGAGTCAGTTCTCATATTCAGGATGCGCGCCAAGTCATTCTTTAGGTCAGTTACAGAGTTCTTCCTGAAGTGTTTTAAAACAATTAGGACTTTCTTCAGGTGGTTATGTTTAGTTCTTCCTGAAGTGTCTTAAAACATTAAGGTCATACTTCAGGTGGTTATGTATAGTTCTTCCTGAAGTGTTTTAAAACAATAAGGTCATACGTGGTTATGTTTAGTTCTTCCTGAAGTGTCTTAAAACATTAAGGTCATACTCAGGTGGTTATGTATAGTTCTTCCTGAAGTGTTTTAAAACAATAAGGTCATACGTCAGGTGGTATGTATAGTTCTTCCTGAAGTGTCTTAAAACAATAAGGTCATTCTTCAGGTGGTTATGTATAGTTCTTCCTGAAGTGTTTAATAACAAGAAGGTCATTCTTCAATCAGTTATAGAGTTCATTCTGAAGTGTTTTATAACAATTAGGTCATTTTTCAGTTATAGAGTTCTTTCTGAAGTGTTTTAAAAAATTAGGTTATGTTTCAGTTACTGAGTTCTTCCTGAAGCGTTTTATAACAAAGATGTCATTCCACATTCAGTTAATGAGTTCTTTCTGAAGTGTTTTATGACAATAAGGAAATTCTCCAGGTCAGTAACCGAGTTCTTCCTGAATGTTTTATAATTCTTCAGGTGAGAATCGTTTATATCACACTTTAAATATTAATAAGTAACTTAAAATTATCAGAAAAATATATAGGGTTTGCTAAATCTAGACAAGGAACTATATATTTCTTGAAGTTAAATCTAGATATCAAGAATTTGTATAAAAAAATATCAGAACTGTAGAAAAATAGATGTATTAGAAATGGCAACGTGAAGAGCATCAGTTGAAAGAAAATCTTGTTCTAAGAAAAGAGGATGCCTAGTTTCTCTTAATGGTCTCAGTGTATATTTTCTAAAATCGTTGAATAGTAAGATGAAATCAATTAGTTAAAAGATGCTTTTTAATAAAAATATATATTAGATTTGATCATCCTTTTCAGCGGAAATTTTAAAGTTTTTCAAGTGATTTTTTAAGTGAATTGTACATCTGTTGAAATGACACATATTAATCAAAATAAAATGCTGTTAGGACACTGTCAGCGTATTTCTAGTGACTCTCCATGCAAGGATGGCAATGTCCGATTTACAACCGTACCCTTCAGAAACCCTTTTACTGATAAATAATGTGGAAGCTTTATTTTAGGTTTTCTAGGCTCACAAGTGTTTCATTCTGATAAATTATATATATGCTTTTTGAAGTAGAAATGCGCAGGTAAATTTTGTAGATAAACCACAATTAAAAAATAATAAGTTTTCAACATTGATATCTAATTCAAACTTGATCACACAAAGCTTTTAAGGGTGCCGTTGTGAATCGTGCATGCTTGCCATCTTTGCATTGGGAGTGAATTGAAATTAAGATATACTTTTGACATTCTATTCTAACATTGTTTTAATTGTGTGCCTAATTCACACAAAAATGAAGCTATATGACTTTTTTGAAAGAGTAGTAATGATACCAAGATTGCTTAGTTATCAATATGTAATACCATTATGTGGCACATTATGTATATATATATATATATCACATATATATATAAAAAAAATAATTATAATAACAAATAAATGAAAAGGAAATACTATACAATATATAAGGTTAGTATACCTCTCCTATACAATATAAATGGTTAGTATACCTCTCCTATACAATATACAAGGTTAGTATACCTCTCCTTTACAATATACAAGGTTATTAATAGTATACCTCTCCTATACAATATACATGGTTAGTATACCTCTCCTATACAATATATAAGGTTAGTATACCTCTCCTATACAATATATAAGGTTAGTATACCTCTCCTATACAATATACATGGTTAGTAACTTAGTATACCTCTCCTATACAATATACATGGTTAGTATACCTCTCCTATACAATATATAAGGTTAGTATACCTCTCCTATACAATATAAATGGTTAGTATACCTCTCCTATACAATATACAAGGTTAGTAATAGTATACCTCTTCTATACAATATACAAGGTTTACCTACTCCTACAGAGTACTTAATAAATTTGTATACATACTCCCACGGTTTACCGGTTTACATATATTTGTTTACCTACTCCTAAAGTGTACTGCATATATGTGTTTACCTACTCCTAAAGTGTACTGCATATATGTGTTTACCTACTCCTAAAGTGTACTGCATATATGTGCTTACCTACTCCCTGTATTTTTATCCTTGCTACTGCCAAGGTTCTGCAGCATCTCTCCTAGGTGAGCTAGGGAACCTCGACGTCGTTTATTGGAAACATTTGGATCATTCTCATCTCTTCGGTATCTAGATACATGTATATAATAAAGCTATTCGCTAATATATAAATTTGTATATTTTTTGTCAGCTATAGTTGACCAAACGTCTGAACCGAATGGGCTGAACTTTTTTTTAAATCCAAAGTTTAATACAAAAATTGATTTTTTTAAAATCGATATTTACTTTTCAAAAATCCAAATTTTTTTATAATTTGATGTTTAAAAATTCCACGAGTAACGCCGGGCACTTCAGCTAGTCATCTATAAAATAAAGCTAAGCCAAGTTTTTTTCAGGGAACCCATGGTTACCCTGCGCGCGGGTATAAAAATGTAATCAATTCTTTTAAAAATTAGAATTTATTTTTTCAATATTAATAAAATAATAACTTTTTTTTTCAAAATTGTACATTTTCTACTAGGAAAACAAGAAATACAATAACAATAAGAACAAGTATAACAACAATTGCAACATTAAGAACAACAATTACAATAAGAACTTCAATAAGAATATCAAACCTCCCGATCTGCCTAAAAGAAACCAAACTCGATAAACCTGATAGATAACCAATTGAATAGGGACGTGGTTGAGGTGATCGCGAAACAAAGAATACTAAGAAGAATAAGAACAACAAGAACCGCAATAACAACAAGAACATCAATAACAACAAGAACATCAATAACAACAAGAACATCAATAACAACAAGATCATCAATAACACACAAAAACAACCTAAAAAAACAATGACAACAATAACTAGTATAAAAATAAGGACAACAAGAACTGAAAGGTGAGAAATCAGATCAACACGATTATAAAATAAATGTGCTAGCTTAGATTGGAAGGAAAGAAACAACACACGTAACAAAAAAGAAGATAATTTTGTTCATTTTCAAACAATGGATACGCACCTTGGATCGTCTCCATCTATAGTTGTGATCTGAGCTGAGGAATCCCGTCTTTTTAAACAAATCAAACTTTTCATTTTATTTCTCAGTTCGAGGGAAGGGAGGGACAATCTACATTTACATCTACAGAGTGAGTAAAAAAACTACAGGATGATCGGTGTTCCACAAAACTGTTTTTTAAATGAGATTTTTAAAAAAATTCATAAAAATCTCATTAAATTTTTCATGTATTTCTAAGAAATTTTGGGGGAAAAAGTAGAATAAACATGTTCTCAACAGTTTTTCAAAAATTTTATCTTTCAAAATAATTTAGTTTTGCGGAATTTTTTCAACGTTATTCATAAAATGTGAAATTTTTTTATCACATTTTTTATTCTTAAAAACCAAACAAACTAAAATTTTTTGAACATTTTGTCCAAAACATCGATAATCCCGAGTTTTTATTTACAGACCCTGCAGTTATGCAGATTTTTCTTGTCTGTTTGTATCTTTTAAACGGTAAAGGCAATCGTAGTCTTAATTGTTTAAGGCAATTCATATAATCGCTTTTGTTCCTCCCATGTTTTCCCTCTCTTTCTTGAAATTTAGGAGGGCATTCCTCGCCCCCACCCTCTTTTTGGTAGTTTTTTTACCCCGCCTCTTTTCTGAGATTTATAAAAATAGATAGCTTCATTATACTGAAATAATAAGTTGAATGTAAATGAAATAAAAGATTATTAAATTAATCTTGGAATCAATCTATATTCAAAGAATAAATAACATAAAATTTAAGATTTTTTAAAGATAAGATTATTATGTTTGGAAATACTAATTCAAAAATGTCTGCATAATTCTTGTTATTATAAACAAGAATTTAAGATCCCGTCCTATTTTAGTAAGAAAAAACAATTTTAGTTAAATCCTCTAATTATGATAATAATCTTCAACTTTTGTTTTCTTACAGTGATAACTAGAAAACAATGGAATAGGAAAACGACATTAAAGCAAGTGTATTTAAGGTTGTTAAAAAGCAACAAGTTTTACTAGACACTAATTCAATCACTAGTTTGGTCTGTTTACCCTGCACAATTGCTATGTGCAATTCTCATTGTTATAACTTGATTCTAAAAATTGTCTTTCTTTAAGAGTTTTCTGTTTATTATTGTAAGCATTGAAATTTGATGTCAAACCATGCATTTGTTATTTTTTAAACTATGAATGAGTGTGTTATGTCAAATAATAATAACCTGAACAAAAATGCGAGAGAAACCGTTGTTTTTTTTACAAACTCGATTAGGGTTAATTACTATGAGTTTCTCCATTGTTTCTTTTAAACAAAAAAAGCGCAATTCCTTTTCAGAGAGAAGACGCAAATGAAAATTGATAGTTTAAAGAAACAAAAACATTGAGGTTTAATGCTAACGTGATAAGACAAAGCTTTCAAAGGTACAGTTGTTAATTGGGGGTTGACATCTTTGTACGCTTATACACAGTTAAATTCTCATTGATAATTCTAGGATCAAGCTAGAAACGTTCGCTTAAAAAAACCTTCATTACATATCTTTTATCTAACTAGCTATAGTTAAGGAAAACATTGAACGCCAGTTTAAAGCAAAATTAAATTTGTCTTTGCTCATTTTTTAAAAATTCCAATGTAGAAGCTACAATTTGTAATTTGTATCGATTATGACTGATATTTCTCTGAATATCTTACAGGAAACAAAATTGCAAAAACTTAACGACATTTCTAATTGAAAGACTTAGCAAAAGTAAACTTCAATTCCGGTTTTTACTGGTTAGACTTTAATTCCGCTTTTTACTGGTTAGGAGAGTCAAAGATTGATACTGAATGTTTATTTGTTCTCCTGCCTGCCAAGTCTACCCCTGATGATATCTAGATCCATCTGTTCCCGTAGAAGGTTATCCACACTGTTCCCTCCCTGCCACACCAACCCAACCTATACATAGATACAGATTATCCACACTGTTCCCTCCCTACCACACCAACCCAACCAATATATAGATACAGATTATCCACACTGTTCCCTCCCTGCCACACCAACCCAACCTATACATAGATACAGATTATCCACACTGTTCCCTCCCTGCCACACCAACCCAACCTATACATAGATACAGATTATCCACACTGTTCCCTCCCTACCACACCAACCCAACCTATATATAGATACAGATTATCCACACTGTTCCCTCCCTGCCACACCAACCAAACCTATACATAGATACAGATTATCCACACTGTTCCCTCCCTTCCACACCAACCCAACCTATACATTGATACAGATTATCCACACTGTTCCCTCCCTTCCACACCAACCCAACCTATACATAGATACAGATTATCCACAGTGTTCCCTCCCTGCCATATCAACCCTGTAGGAAACCCCTACTCCATAACAAGTCCTCGAAACGTATCTATCCAGGTACAACCTGTCCACTATCAAAGTCAGCCTATTAACTATCGATCCCAGATTAAAGGGGACGATCTTCAACCTGTTATATTTCTTCAATTTAGTAGAATAGGGTCCTTAAAAGCGTAATTACAAGGTATGCGCTATTATATATAACGTAGTTAAACAATCACAATATGGGTAATATGGAGATATACATACGTCGTCCACAGAATTGGTTAATTGCAATACATGATTTACTTATTTACTAATGGCACATGATTTTTTCAATATTTCTTATGAAACAATAATCACAAAATGGTCATATGACTTTTTTTCCTCTCAAAAATACCAGAGATATTAAGAATTTTGTATAAATTTCAATTTATTAAATAAAACCATGAAAAAGTCTTCATCTGAACAAAATCATTCATACATATCTATGGTAATCAAAAAAGCATAAAAATAGCAGATCACATTTTGGAAATAGCAGGACTAGGGCTATGCTGTGATTATTGTTTAATGAAGAAATATTGCTAGATCAGGTTACCTATGTTGAATGCCGTAGACTTTTTATAAAGTCAAAGACGACTCTGAAGTTATCAATCAATTAATATTTTTTCGTGTTATTTAGAGGATCATTGTATACTCTCGGTAAGTTTGAGAACAAAATGTTAAGATTTCTTTGAATACCATAGAATCTCCCTAGAAGGGACTAATTCAGTTTGTGTACCGTCCCGTTTTCCCTCATATAGTCTGTATATGTACTGTACACCTAGTTCTAACTAACGGGCTGGTACTCGAAATGAACCAGAGTTTACGGTGAACAGTGTATTTACCTGATGTGTGAGAATTGGAAGATTGCAGACAAAGCATGATACTTTTATTTCAGAATTGATCATTACTTTCTTCCTGCCAATATTATTCAATAATAAATCGTTAAAGTTCCTCCTCATCGGTATTTATAGTTTTTTTAGAACCATATGAAATGCTTTAATTTGAAGCTGATTCTTTAAATACTTGTATATATATATATATATACATGTTAGCTATAAGCTATAGCTAACATGTATATATATATATACATGTTAGCTATGGCTATAACTGCCTAAACAGATCGACCAAAATTGCGAATATTTTTTTAAGGGTATTCTGAGGCGTGTTTCTTAAGAGTACAAAATGTTAACTTGGTATTGCGGAGCAAATTTAACTTGTTCCTGGTGATTGGAAACAAGTTTCCGTCAAATCATAGAAATTAAAGGATTGGAATGAAGATGTAAGGAAATAAAGGATTTAGAGAAGATGGATAAGTTAAATATAAGTTTTTAAATATAAATTTTGCTCATTTGAGCCAAATTGTCATAAAATTCCAAAATATACAGGGTGTATCTCTTGGATCCATCTCACCAGAACAAGCAGATATGATTCGATGGAAAAGAAATTAATGGAATAACAGAAAAAAGTTACTAAGCATTTTAAAGGTGTCTCAAACTGTGTATTAAAAAAAAACTCAATATCTCAACAGGACGGAGTGATATGGTTTGACGGAAACTTGTTTCCAATCACCCAAATGCATGAGAATCAGGAATACGTTGAATTTTCTCCCCAATAACAAGCTAAACTTTTTTGCTCTTAATCTTAAGGAACCTTTCAGGGGGTAACAAAAATGACAAATTCCACTGGCTACGCCGGACACTTCGGCTAGTATGTTTTTTTCAGAATGTTTTATGACTATCATTTAGTTAACGCCACTTATCTGTCATAGAAAAGATTAAAAAAAAAACGTTTTTGTTGACACAGTCTTTTTCCTCTTCTTAATAGAAATCCACGAATCCATCTGTTGGAAGAAAGCACTTAAAATAAAAAAACTAGAAAAAGTCCAGAATTTACTCAAGTTTATTGAAAAAAAACGTTAAGGGAAATAAAGTCACACTATTTTTTAACAAAGACTTTTTTCGGAAAGCTTCAGGAAAAATAACCGGCCATGAGAAGAAAATTCATATTAAGAAGTTTCACTGAAACATGATCAAACTTGACAGAATATAAAGTCATATCTTTATTTCTTTCTAAATAATTTGTAATATACATTTTCAAGACTTTTTTCCGCAGAACTTTTTTATTTTAGTGCCAGAAATTAGGACTTTTTTCCGAATACTTTTTATTTTAGTGCCATAAATTAGGATTTTTTCCGAATACTTTCTATTTTAGTGCCAGAAGTTAAGACCTTTTTCCGAATACTTTTTATTTTAGTGCCAAAAATTAGGACTTTTTTCCGAATATTTTCTATTTTAGTGCTAGAAATTAGGACTTTTTTCCGAATACCTTTATTTTAGTGCCAGAAATTAGGATTTTTTCTGAATACTTTTTATTTTAGTACCAGAAGTTAGAACTTTTTGCTGCAGACTTAAATTTTTGTGGTTATTGCGGACTTTTTAGGACAATTTTTCGTCAGCCCAGGCCCCCCCCCCCCCCCCCCCCCCTAAAAAATTGTATTTCCAGGGTTTGTTGTTTCAAAGGTTCTTTCTTCACATGGGAAATGGGAATATGAGAAGAGATGAATTAAGAGATGTAACAAATCACGAGTTTTCTTTATTGAATAACTTCCTTGTTCGTCGTATGTTTACCCTGTTCTTCTTCTTCCCTATAGTACTGCTACCCTGCTG